ACCCCCTTCTTTGCCATTTTCCAGCTTAATCAGCGATGAGAAGTAGCAGCARCGCTTAGCAATGGGTGATGTTTTAGCGTACGAAGCTGAGCTACTTGGACTAGTGAAAGAGGTTGGTTTTTGTTTGTTTGCTGGGGTTTTTTTGGGTATTTTTTTGGGTTGTTTTTTTCTTGGTTGAAATGAGCAATGCAAGATTTCTCAGTGCTTGTATTCAGAGCCAGACATTATAACTCTGTCTAAATTCTGGAGTTATTCATCTGGCTAAGTGTTGCTGCACTGTGAAATCTTGCTGACCCCTGGCATATTTGTMGGTTCAAAAAGCTTGATGTCCATTAAATGCCAGCAGTAAAAATTTCCTTTTTGATTGAATGAAATTCCTGGCTAAACCAAGGGCCATCATTCTTTCAGAGAGGGTGCACTCAGTTGTTTCWAGGATGCAGGAGGAAATTGAGAGACAGTATTTTCCTACCACAAGGTATCAGTTCTTGAATTGTCACTTCACAATCTTTGGCATTTGTGGACCATCCTACAGAGAAACTTTAACATTTCATGGGTCATTCATTGAAGCATTAATCACCTAAAAATGATGTTATCATTTATTGAAGCATTAATCATCTTACAACTGTTGTTCCWCTATGTTTTTGTCTTGCAGTATTTGGATTTTGCAGGATTTCAAGAAACAGTGAAAGTACTCAAAAAGGAGTGTAAAATAAAAGGGAAGCCATTRCGTAAACCAGGAGATAGTTCCTCRAAAGAATCATTGCCTGTTCAGGTAATGCATAATTTACACTTCCTTTGAGTAATACCAAAAACAGTTAGAGGCCATTGACCACCCTTTGAGTTATTACAGCAGTGAACTGTCTAAACAGATTCTTGATTATTTGAAGAAACTTCCTAACAGTCTTCTAGGACAGGAATCTTCAAGTTTGGGTTTGGGTTCTTTTTTTTTTCAAAACTCCAGTAATTTTGAACTCAAGACAGTTGTTTTGATTTACACTACTTTTAAATTTTCATTGATATGCTTGAAAATTTGGGCTTTGCTTCCTATATTGATGGTTGGTTCAGGCTCTCAAAAACATTAAAGATGTGTGAAGAAAGAATATTTGGGTGGTCATTGAATTGTGCGAGGTTTTTGAATAAAACTTTTAATTCAGAGTGTTCAGAAGGCACTGGAATTCTTCATTTGCTAAAGTACTGCTGAGAAAAAGTGACTCTTGTGTGTTTGGTTKTTCATTTGATGCTTTTCCCCTTCACAGGAAGATCTGCTCACAGCATTTGAAAATGGYGATCAGAAAGTTTTCTTCCAGCTCTGGGAGGACCATATTTTGTCTTCAGTCCATGACAGTGATCAAGTTGTTCAGAACCTCGAGTTCTATCTCCACATATACTTTGCCACCTTCCTCTTGAAACAAACTATGGGAAAGCCTGTAAGTTTAGTTCACAATTCAAACCTCACATTGCTTTTATTTGTTTTATTTCATTTATTTGTCTTTAGTGTGGATGAGGATGGGATGGTTTCTAAGAATCATTCCAAGAATATGTATCCAGTTTTGGGCACAGTCTGCATTTTAGTTCAACCRCATCCTTTCTATTGTGAAGTGCAAAGATGGAAGTTGGAGCTGTCCTTATCGTGGAGTTCCTGAAGTATTTTAACTTGGAAAATACCAGTATGACAATACTTTCACACTTGTAATTGTAGGTGTAGAGCAGACTCTTTAAACACTTACTTTGCTTTGAGTTTGAACTGAAGCTGTGAGTTGAAATATAATAATTTCTGGTGAGATGGGAAAGCTTAGTCTTGGCCAGCTCAATATATCATATTGAAAAATATAACCCCAAGATGTTATAAAATAAAATCTTTGCTACATGGGACTTTTGTATTGAAGAGACATTTAAGTAGCCTGGACTCAGCCAGATCAGCCAGGGCTTAATAGCTCCTGCCCTTCACCTGTCAGCTGCTACATGAGTATTTGGACGCCTGCAGTCTGTCTTCCAGCCTCTAAGGGGCTTTTGTTCTGCTCTGTGTGTCAGSTCCCCTTCCCAGTGCTGTGCAAGTGAATTTTTTTGGTTCTGCACTTATCACTGAAATAAAGCATGTAGGTGTTTCCTCTCTGCCCTGCATGTAGAAATGGCATTTTTCTTTAGAAATCTAGCCAGAAGAGAGTGGGAATAATTTTACAATCTCCTCTTTCTTTCGACCTGGCAGACAGAAACAACTTCAGTTTCCATTTTCCTTTATGACTGGTGGARACATACAATATGCTCTCTAGTTAAATAAATATTGGTTTTTAGATAACAAATATTCTGRAAWTTCACACTTGATATTRATATATTTGACTGTCTTATTTGYCAGCTTTACAGTGCATTCAGAATGRTMGTTTTCTAAATGAAATCTGCTGCTTTATTTCCTAGGACAAAGCTGAACTTGAGGAAAGGATTTCTCATTTTAAGGCATACCTGGAAACAAAAGGAGCTGCACTGAGCCAGACTACAGAGTTTCTTCCCTTCTATGCTTTGCCTTTTGTTCCAGACCCCATGGTACATCCTTCATTTAAAGAACTTTTCCAGGTAAGTGTCTGTGTTTCAGGGATAGATGGTGCTTATGGTAATTTACACAGACCACTCTCTGCACACCATGAAGGTGGATGGCTAGGAGATAACTTCTAGAGCTGTGGTTTGATGTTCCAAAGTATTGTTGCCAATACCTGTGGGGAAGGTACAGCCACCATTTCACCTGCCGATGGCTTGTTCCTGCAGTGCAAAACTGCACCTTAACTTCTCTGTTGAGCTTGGAATGGATGGCTATGTGCCTGTACTTTGACTGGATCAAGGAGCTGCTTTATTGGCTATGAATGTGTGTGTAAACAGCTCCCACGTGTACACATCTACACAAATTTGTTTGTGAAGCATGTATAGTATTTTTCGGAGTTATTTGCTCTGAATGCTTCCTTGTCTRACCACATGGACAATTGTGCTGGCCTGGCTGAGCAGCTGTGGGCAGCCTCTGTGGTGCAAGGAGATGCATTCAGCCTGCATTGCTGCCACACTCCTTTTGATATCAAACCAAAGCTTAAGTGATACTTAACCTTAGGGCTGACTTTGGAAGTACCAGCTGATGAGGAGTTCCAATTTAACACCAAAAAAAGGCATATCCTGCCATTTTCCTTCGGGACTAGCTATAAATAATGAGATAGACTGGTTGACCTCAGAGATGGAATATGACTACTCCTTTTAAATTATACTTAGCAGCATTTTTTAAAATGCCTTATCTAAGATGAAATCCTCAGGTTTATTCAGTGTCTAAGCAGTCATGCATATTTTCTTGTGGGAATTGTACAACTCATTCCATGTTAGTGTTGAAACACAGATTGTTTTATGTTTGAGAARGAGCAGCAGTGAGTCACTAGTTTACTAAGCAGTGTTCTTATGGCATGTATTTTTCTCAGGCTATTTATCTGGTGCTTTATATAGCTGGAGTTCCTGTCAGTTTGTGTAATACATCTTGAAAAATAATATGCACTCCTGTCTGTAGGAGACCAAGTTCATTTGGTAATATACAGTGTGCTGTGGTACACCACTGTCTGGATACTGAGTTGGTAAATGCAGCAAGTGTAAATTCTGTTCACTCTCCAGCATGGTGAAATAAGGGAAAATCTGAGCTGTGAGAACAGCTTGCAACATGTACATATACAGCAGTAAATTTAGGAAGCTCCTACGACTTGCTGGAAGATAGAGTTTTTCTTCTGTTGGCTGGCTTTTCCTCAAGCAGAAACCAGCTTCACGGAAGGTTGGAAATAGAAGACATGAGTATTTGATGGATTTCTAGGTGTAGTTTGGCTCTTTTCCGTAACTGTTATTTTCTTGTGCCCATGAGACACTACGTCAGGCAGAGGACAGCATTCCAGTTAATGCTGTTGGTCCGTTCTGCTCATCTATTTTTCCTGCATGAGTTGTTTTCTCCAAAACCTTATTTTAGAAACATTGTACCCTGATCACCAGTGTCATGTCATGAYATGGTAGTTATTGACAAAACTTACAGTTCCCAGATCTTAGAAGCAAAATATGAAAACTGACTAGTGCATAATTGCTAATTTTGTACTCTATTTAATATACGTGACATTAATATTACTTTTTTATCTTTTCTCAAGTTGCTTGTATTTTAAAGGCCCTTCTACTTTAGGGGCAGTTGTTACATGTGCATACAGGGCACAAATACTATGTGATAGTTTCACCTGTGAAATAAAGCTACATTGTGTTTGTAGTACTCTTGTCTAGGAATACTTCTGTATGCTTTTAGGGGAAGTGAGCAAACATATTCACTTCAGTAACAGTGAAGGGAAAATCTTTTCAATCCAATGCTGGCTGCCTTGTTTACTAGTGGGAAGTTGCTGTGATCCAAGCAGTACTTTCTTCAGAGTGTACATATTTGGGGAACAACTGTCATTATTTGTTTTTCTTTTCAAGGATTCTTGGACATTGGATTTAAGGACAAGATTGGAAAAGTTCCTGTCTGTGACTCTGAGAGCCAGACAGACTCCACGGCTTCTCACTATATTTGTATCCTTTTAAGAAAACACTTTGCAGATAATTAGAAATATTGGGAAGAGGCAGTATCATTTATTGCATGAGWGTGGTGCTAAGATTTATTGCAGAATTGCAGTAGCATCGCAGTTCAGTGTATTCATGATAGAAAACATAATTTATATTCCACATTCAAAAGTAAACCTTTGAAAAACTCATGTAAAGACAATGTATAGATCCATATGAACCTACAGGTTTATCACAAGACCATTCTTTGCTTCCAAATATGAAGTACAGGATATCCAGAGGAACCAATCTGACCTGACTTCTTTCTTAGCATTTCTAAAGCTGTTAGTCTTTTAAATCAGCCATTTCAGGGACTAACTGAAAGTTTTCCAGGGGTTTTAAGGGTTCCAGAAATGACTTGGTCACTCAAAGGTCTGCAAAAGGTCTCTATGCAACATTGTGAGTTGTGCACTTCCAAGATTTTTATGTATTTATTTTTGATTTAAGTATTCTGTGGAGCATCAGGCCCTGGCTGTTGGCTGGAACAGTAGGAATATTTGGCTCAGTTGAGTTTCTCATTGTATGTCTCTGGAACAAACTCTAAAAAGATGCACGTTTTCCTGAACTGCGCCTAYTCGTGCAACAGAAGGAGAGTGGACAATACAACAAAGGTAAATGCTGGGCTGTGGTGAGGATATTCTGTGAGATTKTCAGGGGCTGTGAGAGCAGCCCAAGGTTCATCTGAAGGGATGGGGAAACCAGTGATGCATGGCAGAAAGTCCTTGGAAATCCAGACCCCAGCTTTGGTGACAGCTATTGCTAGACTGCTTGAGCTCAGTAAGGTTGAGCATCAGTAGGAACGGACTAAAAATAGGAGAGGGTCTAGTATTTAGATTTGTAAATATGGTAAAAACAAACTGAGAACTCCATACAMAGTGCATACCAGTTCTGATGAAATTTGCCTCAGGTTCCTTTCCCTTACCTGCTTAGGCCTATCTGTGTCCTCCAGATTTCAAATCTCATTCAGTTTGTTCTGATGACTGTCTGATGATCTTAAACAAAGTTGATTTTTGTTCCTATTTATCATTCTGTTTAAATAGTACCTCCTAGTATAGTGCATTTTAGTATTTCCTGAATAAGAATGTGTTCATTTAAGTGTGACTGGCTGATGTGTTGCATTTTGAGGTAAGCTGCTTAGACACACTTAAATGTGTGTGTGTGTGACTTAGGGCCCTTGAAATAATAATGATTTCACCACAGAATTCTGTTAGGTGCTGATGCACCTGAAACATGTGCCTTTAAAAAAATACTAAAGTACACAGAGCTTGGGTTTCCAACTATGTTGCATTCATTTTTTCACTTGACTTTCTGTATATGTTTAGGATCCGTATAARACCAGTTGAATTCTTAAAATTACTTTTCCTCTTGAGTTATTTTAATCTGTAGGTTTACCTTGAGGATTTACTCTTWGTAGATTGAATTAAGGAGAAAGTTAGATTTTCTCCCAGTGTGAGTTCTRTGTATTTTCTTTGTTATTTTGTGCTTTGTGTTGCATTAGACTTTCACTGAATAACAGAAAGTACTTCGCGGATTTTTATTTTCCAGAAGGTACTCTTTTTTCCTTGTAGGGGACTTTTCTGAAGGCAAGCATTCCATGCTCTTATTAAAAAGAAATAACTACACATTTGGGTCTGAATTATTTTAGGCCTAATTATTTTTCATTTGGGCAGGTTCTGTGCTTTGTACAAGTACAGGGACTGTACTTGATTGACCTGCAATCCATGCAGGTCAGCCTTAATTTGCAAATCTGTTATGTGCCTTGGAGGTTGAGTCAGTTTGGATTTTTCATAAAGGTTATTTGAGGACTGTCACGTATGAAGGTTTTGGATTCAAGAGGTTATTTTTGCAGTATCCTGCTCACATCACGTGGGATCCACAGCACTTTCTCTCTGCTGGAGAGTATTTACTTTATCAGTGAAGGGGAAATGCAAAGAAAATTTATGGGAAACACATGAATGAAGAGCAGTATGGCAGAGTACTGGAAACACCTTTTTATAAATACTTGCCAGTCATCAGTCTGACATGCTGAAGTACTTCAAGTTTGGGTGGGGTGGTGCAAATGTTCTTGAGGGTGTCTTGAAGAGTTCAGTGTGTTTACCAAGCCTTATTTACCTGCTACAGTCTGGCTTTTTACCCATTTGCTAAAAAACATCAGTCTCTGTATGAGTTCCAAAGCTATTTGTGTGGCAGTTGTGCTTAACTTATAGTTCTCCCATATGCTTTATGTTTGGCTGGAAAGGAAAAAATTGCAGTATGGTTGGCATCTTGCCCAGAGAGCTTCAGACCTTCTCTGCTAACAGGGACTCAGGGATGGAGGTTTTTCGAAGTGTGTTCATCTGTTCCCTTCACTGTCTCATTACAAATCTGTGGATGAGTTCACAGCCACTCTTCTGTTTTGGGGAGGGGGAGAGTGGAGGAAGTGTGTCAGGCTGCTGCACTAGAGAAGGTGAAGTGTAACCAACCTGTCTGTCAAGATTTGCAAAAGTCTAAATGACTGTTTATGTGGAAATTTTTCCATTTAGAATATGAATAGCAATTTTTAAGCAAGAAGGAGACTCCTGYCCCTCTTAAGAGCAAGATTCAGTGTCACCTAAGGAGCCCAAGTGTCTGACAGCAGCTCCTTAGACTTGCAGCTCCTCTGCTCAGAGCTCTGCTTCATTGTGTACAGGAACTCAACTGGCTGGAGTCAATGCTTCTAGACAAGTGTGTGAGGGTGGGCTGAGATTAGAGAGAAAGAGAGCAAGCACGAGTTCAGGAAGTGTATTTCAGTTGTAGTTAAGTTGTAAAGGAAAACAACCAATCTCTCAGAGAGAAAAGGTTATTGTGGAATTAAATGCATATGTGTAAATCCTTGGCTGCTTGTAGAAACTGAAGTTAGAAGACTTGACAACTACGCACAGGAGAGAGCAGGAAACAATTCTGGTAGAAACGTGCAGTAGTTGAGATAATGCCCAATTCCAGCATCTTCATTTGGCAGAGTCACAAGCTTTTAGAAAAGCTTCTTAACACCAATTTTTACCTGGGCTGGTAACTCCCTCATTTGTCTAAATGAATGCTGTTATGGGACTATGGCAGGAATASAAGGGGGAAATGGGGCAGCACAGGACCAGCTCTGTCTGCACTTGGAACAGCTGCTTGCCAGTGATGAGATCTTCCTGCTCGTTCAGCAAGAGAAGCTGTTGTGAAACACTCCCTCCCCTTTGCAGTAAAATGACTTATGTATGAGAAGGTAGCGGTATAAAAATTGCAAGATATGCCAAGACTTTGTGATTCCTCTCTGMCATCCTTTTCTCAGTTTACTGTTGATAATCTCTGGATTTAACAGCCAAGGGGTAAATTGGACCCTGTTTCTGAATTTCCAAGACTGATGTTCATGAGCTGCGTTGAGTTTTGGTTATGTAGTTTTTTCCTGCTGACTGCAGTTGGAAGAGGTATTTTCATCACTGGAAATTTTACTCACTGGGCAATGAAAAGCAAGCAAACTCTGAGAAGATTTATACTTTGTGATTTGGTGCTTCCAACTTTCCTCTGAGTCAAAGTCATGCTCTAGATACATCCACTGGAAATTTTTGAATTGAATGTGTCATGTCACAGTTAAATAATAATATATTCCCATTTGATCATCTAGGCTACAGAATAAAGGGCTGGAGTGGCTAGTTTTGTGCAATGGTTGCTCTCAGAATCTTTGTTAATTTAGAAAAATGTTCTTGTTTTGAAGCTGTATCATATTAAATCTGTGGTAGCAGTTTAACAGTAATGGCTGTGAAATAAAAACAAAATCCAAGTTGARTTATTGTTATCAAGGTTAAATAATTTGTTTGTCTTTGGAAGTTATCTTAACTCTTCTGATTTTTATGTAATATTGATTGGAGTTGAGATGATTTTAATGGCTTACAGAATTGTAAAAAGCTTGGCACTTTCTGCAGGATTGCTTAATGTTACTGTTCTACTGGTGTTTTGTTTGTTGGTCTATTTCTTCTAAAGTGCATTTTGCTGAATTTGAACAGGATCTGTGGGTTGTCACAGCTTCTGTTGTTCTTTCACACGGGGTTTAGTTCCCTCCTGGGAAGTATAAGAGAAATATCATTAAGGTGGCTTGATTTGCAGCCTCGTATGAGGTATTGGTCACAAACCCTGCAGATGCAGAATGCTGTGCTTCATGAATGGTTCTGAGAAAACAGCCATCCTTAGAGGGGAGGAGGCTTTGAGAGTGAAATAGAGGTAGGTGTGAAATTATCCTTGGAGGCAAATTCCACACCTCAGAAGTTGAGGTTGTCCCTTCARAGAAGTAAAAATGCTTTGGCTTCTTTTGTCCTTTCGTTGCATAGGTGATGCCATGTTTTTTTTATTATTCTCTCAACAGAAATGATGCAACATCTTCATCAACAGTTAGTGCAGTCTGAGCACAAATATATGACCTACCTGAAACGATTTAACAAATTGCAGGTGGACTACCATAATCTCCTTGGAGTCACTGCAGAGCTGGTGGATTCTTTGGAGGCCACAATCAATGGCAAGATGGTAAGACACAGCTCAGATGTGCACTTGCTTCCACACCCCCCAAAACTAGAAACCAAGATGTGAATTAAGCTTCATAGTTATGAGCATTTCTGTTAGAGCTGGGGCTCTTTACTAATGAAACATAGCACTTTGGATGAGCAGCTCTCCCATCRCCCTGGTGAAGGAGGATAAAAGAAATGTGAAAGATGGGTTGAATTGTGCTGGCTCAGAAATCTTGAAAAAATTATCATCATCTCACAAGATCTCTTGTGAGAGTGCCCATTTGAGCTTTGGCATCAGAAATGATTAGAGGGCATTTCTGTGATTACTGACTGCAATCCAGCCCATTAAAAATTGTTACATATTTAAAACTTCTGTCAGGTTTGTTTTAAGTTCCACAGTGATGGAAACAATCTTCTTATCCAAAATTTTGATGTGGAAAAGCTTTGCTCTCTGCTCTGCTAAACTGGACTTGCTGATTTAATTGATAAAGGTAACAAGGATAGGAGTGAATGAGTTATTCATCATGTGAAATGGGCCACGTGTATGTGACTGGAGAAGGTACAACTTTCTTATGAGTATTTTTTATATGAAGTTGATTGTTTCATGAGTTGTGCTGCCTGCTCTGGGAGCATAACCTCTGTGTGACCTGAACGTTATTCTCGTGGCAGATGTCAGTGACCTCTAGGTGCTTTTAAAGGAACTGTGWATTGTTAGCAGGGAGAATGACCTGGCATTTCCTGGGCTGCCTGCTGGAAAGTCAATATGTACCTTCCTCCTGTCAGCAGCATGAGCACTTTGTGGTTTGTAACCCTGCATCTAGGATCACTGCTCATGTATTACTGCAGGGAAGAATTTGCCTGTAGGGRTGGATTATGCTTTACAGTTTACAGCGGATTAGGGAAGGTAACTGTTCACATGAGCTTTGATAACAATAAGAAACMCAGTCATTCATTTGCTGCCTCCCATTTCACACCTCTGGGCTCTCCAGGTTGTATCCAGTTACCAGCTGTGGTTGGGAGCCGGACACTGGTTCTCTTCTGGTGYGGATGTTGCTCAGTTTCCTTTGTGAGCCTTGTGCGGGGCACTCGTTTGATCCATCCCAAGTGTGTCCAGCTGAGGGTGCTCTTCCGTTATGCATCCTGGATTCCGTAATTTCTAAATCCAAAGTGAAGTTTGGTACTGAATAAAGTCATAGTGAAGTTACAGTGTTTTGAATTTAAAGGGTTTTATTGTTTTGCTGAAGGTTTGGGAATATTAGAAGTGTCCCCAGTTGCATTCCTATAATCTCTGTCCTCTCATCTCTGTTTTGGGGAGGGTACTAACTCTTCTGAAACTAAGCTGTTCTCTTGTGATGTAGATTTCCCCAAACAAAAAAAAAAATAAAATAAACCCACTGAGATGTTTGGCATTGAAAAAATGAAGTGGTGTACTGTGTAATTCATCCTTATTTTCTCTGTTTTACAAGACAGTACTGTAAGTTCTGCTCTTTAGGTAAGCAACACATCACCATTGTTTCAAGCTTGAAACTGCTTCATTTTTTGATTTGATTTTTAACCTTTTAATTCATGTAAATCTGTATGCAAATAGAGGTGTAACAAAATCAGGTTTTCTTCTAGACTCTGAAAGTATTTAGCATTAGTCTTGTGAATAGCCTAACAATTCCCAGATAAAGAGAATTTACAGTTTATTAAAATTTCTGAACAAAATGGTAGCTGTAATGCATACCTTGTKCTTGTATAAATGAGCCTCAGGTGTGTGATTTTTTATTCTTTCAAACAAACAAACAGCCTTTAATATAGAAACATTTGTCTGGTAGAAAGTATAAATTTTATGTAATCCTGTTCTCACTTTGTTTCCTATGTTTCCTAATTTTTAGATCACACCAGAGTATCTTCAAAGTGCTTGTGTTTGCTTGTTTAGCAATCAGATGAARCAATCTGTAGCACACAGCTTTGACTTCACGAGGCCTGGAAGTGTAAGTATAAATGTTTGGGATTTTTACAGTAACTATTTTAAAATACAATACTGTTTAAGCTGTAAATGGAACAATAAATGTTCCATAATAGGAAAGACAAAACTTAATGTCTTCAGGCTTTGATTGTTGATTGTTTTGTTGATCTCAGATGCTGGTGAYTTACCTGGTTATGCAGGTATAACTGCATAAGTATGACTATTTCTATTGTTGTGAGGACAGTAAGATTTGTATCTGTTAAAATACTGACAAAATGCTTTAAAAAAACTCAAACCAACCTTACAACTAATGTTCTGAGCGCAGTTTGATGGCACAYCTTAGCCAATTTAATTGAACTAGAAAAGGGAGTGGTGTTGCTCATCTCTGGACTCATGCTCTGTTCCCTTCTGTTGTCAGTGATACCCCTATAACCCTACAGAGAATTGGCTTAGCCAGCTGAAGGAGAAGYATCACACAGGACTRTGAGAACTAATGTGGAAAAGAGGARGAAGAACCACTTTTAGATGATCAGTTAGCTGATACACCTTACAGATTTGTGTGATGGTCTTTTAACCTCCTATCTCAGAAACTTCGATCTTATTGATGAGCAGCTCAGTATCCCTAGGGTTGATTTTTTCCCACTTCACCATTCTGTGGTGGTTTTTTTTTCAGATGATTGCAGTACACCTCACTCATTTATGTTCTGCTTAATCTCTTCTGCCCAAGTGGGGAGAGAGCTTTGGGATTAATTTTCAGCAGCGAACCATCTTMGGATAGTTTCTACTGTCTGTGAAACTATACCTGTGAGATTTTAAATGACTTAATGATARTGTAAGAGCTGTTCAGTGGTACAACTTCTTTTAATACCTAGCTTGTTCAAGATTTTCAAACAAGCATTATTCTTAAAAYTACATCCAAACATTTTACTAAGAAAATACTGTGTACCACTGTTTTACAAAGACAAGCCAAAATCATGAACTGTACTTATTGTTTTTGCCATGGCAGGCATTCATGTATACTTAACTTTGTAGCAGGAGAACTCAGTGAAGTGTCAAAGGAAAAGCAGAAGAAAATAAAATTCCTGCTCTTTATCCTAGCCAAGGCTTTTAATGACAATGATGCTGAGTACATTTTGTTCCTCTTGCAAATTTGCTACAGAGAGATAAGGAGATAATAAAAATGCTCCCTTCTCTTTCGATGTGATAATAATTTCAGAGATAAGTATTATTCCTCACTGCTCTTCAAACTCTTTTAAATGCCCTTACCTTCCTGTTAACTCTTTTCTCTCACCTCCCATGAATTTAGAAGGTATACTCTTATGAAGCCTGCAAAAGCTGCTATTTCAGGGTTTTAGGAAGGAACCAGGATCTCTTTATCTGCTRCCTCAACATTGGGTGCTGTCTGCAGCTCCTCTGTCCTCAGATTTGCACCATGTCTATAACTTATGTCATCTCCCATCCCATAATGTCCCTCCTCATCTTGATTCTAACCAACAACTTTCAGAGGCCTTTCCTCTTTCCTTGCCAGTGGCTTTCCAAGATAATGCATTTGGTACCCCAGTGGTCTTCTGTRTTTTTGCCACCTGATGTTGAGGTTGTGTGTGTTTCTCCTTCCCTGTACTGAGATCATCCATAGCCATGTGCTGTCTTCTCTCTGTTCCTGCTCTCTGCTTGCATCAAGATGTATCTTTTAGTTCTGTGCTTACAGGGTGCTCCATTTGCCCAGGGTTTTTTCATTATTTCTGTTCTTCTTATCCTAAGTTGATCCTGCAGTTTCTTGAACCCTTTTAGGAACGGGGGAAGAGGGAAGAGTGTCATCCTTATGCAAAGTTGTGATTCCTGCTTCTCTAAGGCATCTCTAAAAGCATTTCTGCTCTGAAGGTGCCTTTGCCACTATATTTATGGCACTCTGGGCACTTTGACACAGTCTCCAGCTATGAAGATAGATTAGAGAATGAGGATGTGTTGGTGGTGGGTTTTTTTTCCCTGCTGGCAGTAAATTTTTGTCTCGCTTTTGTCCCAAATTAACAGGTTGACCTGAGTAAAGCTGTGTTTTTCTGGCACAGTTGTATCTATTTTTATACCAGGCTTTACTAGCATAACTATTTCTGTGTAACTTTGTGCCTCTTTTATCCACATTATTTGAGGCAGTTGCTGTGACAGCCAAGCTCTTTAGTGAARGACTAATCCAGTTATAGCCCTGAGACTGTTTTGATTAAGGGTTTCTAGACTGGTTTAGGTCACTCCATGACACTGAGGGTMTAGCAGCTACTGTGGTTGAACTCTSTGAAATATGTTGTTTCTATAAGCAGATCCACACAGGCTCTCTGAGGCATTAACCAAGTTTTGGAGGGCTAATCACAGTCTGCATATAGACATACACTGCATCATATTCAGGTTTCCTTATCTTATTCTTTTGTCCCCTCTTAATTGATTACATTTTCTTGTTTATTTCCCAYGTGAAGAGTTCTGGTTTTATACATGAATTGCAAACATGCAGATACACAAATGTAAGAAGAAAAAATTGAGATCATCTTATGAAAAGAAAAATGAGACTCCTTTCCTATCATCCCAAGATATTTCTAGCCACTCCCTGGCTTTGTTGATGCAGGAAGCCAGATGAGATGGACTAAAATTCTGACTGTTTGCCACTAGGCCACTCAGGCATTCCATTGCCTTTTCTTCAAGGATTCAAATACTTCGTTGTTATACACTCAGATGTTATTGTTCTACCCTTAAGTGGTTTCAGGTTTTTGCATAAGTTTTGGAATAAAGCTGCAGGCACTGTGACCCAGACTAAGTAGTAGCACGAGTTCACAGCATCTGTGCTGGATTTGTGTTGGAAGGTTCCTTTGCTTTKTGCTCATAACTGCTTAGAGGCACTAGAGTGTGGTCTTTCCAGCTACTCCATTTCACAAACCTCCACCTCCTGTAAGGGGCAGCCACCTGCATAATTGCAGAGGGAAGAGACTAGCAGAGGGTCAGCTCCTTTGCTCATCCTTGCCTTTAGGTCTCTCTGTATGCAAGATGAGTGAGAAGTTTAAAAAAATAAAGTAATTGTCTAAAGAGTTTTATCAGGCATGAAGTATGGTGATTTGTTGGTAGTTGGTTGCTTTTTTTTTTCCCCCCATTTCACCTTGACTGCTCAGGGTGTTCATATCTCACTGACATCACCAATGTCAGGATGAGACCCTGAAATAAATTGGTTCTGGTGGATCAATATCTCTAAACAGATGAGCAGAAAAGAAAATCATTAGCAAAGAAATGACTTTTTTTTGTTATACTGTCAAGCAGSCTTAAATTKCTACCACTGTTATTTAGGGTACTAGTGGATGTGCGTTACATAGTTTGGAAAGAGGAGGTGCTTGAATTCAGTGACACTGATGCAGCTCAGAGGACAATCCAGGTTTTGGGTCAGGTTCTGAAAACAGAAATGCTAAAGCTGTGTCATTCTCTGAGATGTGTATTTGAGCTTTGCAGTGTCTTTTGTTGCATCAGCTRCACTACACTGCTGGTTTTTAGTTACACTGGGAAGGAGGATTATAAGAGTACTGTAACCAAAAGGAAGCATTGCCCAAGGAAATTAAGGACTAAATATTGGATTATATTCTTGGTAGCATTATTTGTATGCAAACTTGATTTTGTTTAACATTGTACTTTGTGTTTAACTTTCAATGTTGGGAAAAGTCCTATTCTGTAGTAGAAAGGTGTGAGGTCTCAGGCTTTGAAATTACAATAAAGGTGACAATGTATGAGCTGTTAATGTGCAAACATCAGCTTCCTGGTTTGTCCCCCCCAYGGTGGCTGTAGGTCTGTCCTTTCAAAATGGAAGAAATTTGTATCAGGAGGACAAATCCCAAAAGCAACTCTTACTTACTGAGCTGGYTTTGAGACCTAAGGCAGTAACAGCCAAAAGAGCTTTTCATTTTAATCATACCCCAAAATCTTACTTAGCAAGGGCTTCTGGTGTCAGCTTTGTGCTYACTGGTGAGCTGGATTGGATCTCATTCTTTTGCAGAGCAACTCTATGACTTTTGCCAGCTCTGTGACCTCCTGGGTCAGCTCATGAGCCTCATCTACAATCCATTAACAGGATGCATCTGCTGCATGCACTGGAGAGAGGCCACAGTACTGTGTTACAGTGGGCAGAAGTTTCCAAGGCCTCTCTAAAGCCCTGTTTTACCATGAGACTTTTTTCATAGCTGCAGTAGAATGTTACTGCCACCTTCCATCGTATCATTTGACGTGTGTGGCCCTGAACTGGGAGATAAGAAACTTGTGAGAATTGTCAGAGAAAAAGGTCTGGATTTAAAAATAAAAGAATAGAATAAAAGGTCAGAGCAGCAGCTCTGACAAGCTGAGGAAACATCTATTAATCAATTCCCAACTTTCTCATACTCATTTGGGTAGGGAATTGGTGTGGGTTATGGTAAAGTTGAAAAGTATTGTTTCAACTACAGTCATCTATTACAGGATTATCATAGTTCCTAATATTTTTACTAAGGCAAATTTGACTATTTCAGATTAGGGATAAGGTAAAATGATTCTCTRAATTTTGGATTAAAGGCAAAACAGGAACTGCTTCTTCAGATGTACAGTTTCTGTCAGTAGTAGAGATGGGTGTTAACCACTGGAGAATCTTTCTGTGACCTGAAAGCTGTAAAGTTGTTTGCATATACTGCACCTGTGTCATGGAATAGAATAGATGCCCATTATGTTTTTACTGCTATTGTGTCATTATATTTACCTGTAGCTACAATTAGGTGAGCTAATGTCCCTTGCAAGTTTTAGGTCTCTCTTGACACAAGTCTTGAAGCTGTGGAAAAACAGCTTCAAGAAAACTGGGTTGGTTTGGGTGTTTTTCTGTAACAGAACAAAATTACTGGCTCCTCTGTAAAGTTAAACTGTCATTTACAAACTGTGAACAAGGAAGAATTTTTTTATAGTATTTTTAGGATAGCTTAATGACTAGCACAGGCTTCTATTTTTCTTGTACTCTGTGCTTTTTTCCTCAAACATACTTTTTGCTGCTGCCATGCCATCAAGCTGTAATAGTTGGTGGCAAGTATTTCATTTCTTACTTGTGATGTTTCTGCAGCAGCAGACCACAGAAACCTAGGATCAGGGTGACAGAAGGTTTTTAGTTTGTTTTTTTAATCTCTCTCTGAACAATTCAGAGTGGATTCACCAGGCATCATTATGTGGATATTTCCTCTTTCATTTTAAAATAAAGTGCACATTGCAGCAAACAGCATCTACCCTAAGTGAGCTTTTCTTTGGAGGAAATATATCAGTTTTCTGCATCTCTGTCCATGGGATGTTTTTTATATGCTCCTATTTATGTATGGAAAAAAAAGAAACAAGCTTACCTCTTCATGTAAGCAAGGAGAAGTTCTTTTTTTCCTGCTGAGACAGTATGTAATGCCCTTTTCAGAAGTTGCTGCAATGTTTTCTGTTTACATGAATTCTTTATCTCTAAGGATGAAGTGTTGCCTTCCATAGGGTTTTTCATGAAGTTTTCCTGCTGCTGTCCTCAAATTATAGAATAGCCCAGTTTGGAAAGGACTTTGAAAGGTTGTCTGGTCCAACCTTTTGTGATTTCCTTTAATGTTAAAAATTTCCTTTAATGTCATCTTTTGTCTTGATGCCTACATCCATTTTCACTGGCTCATGTCATGCAAGTGTTGAAATGTCTCTCATCATGATACAGGTTATCTCCTGGTTTCTTTTGCTCACTTATTGGTCTCTATTGATGTTGCCCTTTGTCTTACAATTAAATTTAAATTAATTCTTTGCCAGGTACTGTCTGTATGTGTGTGTAGCACCATGAAAGTTAAAGTACTCATTCACATCAGGGAAATCTAAGTGTCATGGTAATAAAAAGAGGAATGTCAGATTTTTAGAACTGGTTAAAGAATAAAAATAACCTTATTTTCTGCTCAAAATGAAGAGTGGCAAGTTTCTTATGTCTTCTGTGTAAGGCTGTATATGTCTGTTGAGCAGCCTGCTGAATAGGGTGTTTATGTGCTTATTCATCTGTACAAATATGTCTAAAGTAAGTACTGGCAGGTTTGCACAAAAAGATTGGAAGCAGAATAATTAATGTTGGTCTTATTTCATTGTGTTGAACTGTGTACTTTTATTTTTAATTAAGATGGTTCTTTTAAAATTCAAAGCTGTTCTAAGTATTTTAGTCTAATTAAAGAGAATATGGCATACTTTGTACTAAACTACTCAAACCATGAATTAGCACTTTATTAGCTTTTTATTTTAGTAACTGTATCCTAGGTTTCCCTCCAGAGACTTTTTCTTAGTTTATCCTTGAAATCTTTTGGGATGAAGAGTTGCTAACATTGCTGAAACACCTTAAATTGTTTGTTATGTGCTGGRTAGGAACTCCAGTCAAAGCAAGTGTGGAGAATAGTGGCAGGTGCTTTCTCAGAAACTGAAGTCTTCTGGTCCATGCTGTGTTCAGGGTATCTCTCTTAGCTGCCTCAGGTCATAATTCCTGTAAATTTGTCAGTGCTTCATGTGTAGCTGTTCTGACAGTGACAGTGTGGAATAATGTGCAGACTAGGTGTGTTTGCCTGGTGCTGAGAGGAGAACTTCCAAATATATCACAAGAGGGACACAGCAATTTCAGTCCTAAGACAAGCAAGTATGAGAATTGGGAGAATGTGTTTATACTTTTCCTTTCAAAGCTAATACTCTGTTAAATTGTAGCTAATTTTTATTAGTTGTTTTTTTAGAACTGTGCATTTCTCTGTGATTTATTTCTGTTAACTTATTTTTTTTAATCTTCTTTATTTTAATGTGTGCCTGTTTGCCTATAAAGGGATATTACTCTATGAGCCCTTGTGATGACGGATATGTAAGTGTCTATCTTTATTTCCTTTCACATTGCCTGCTCAGTCTGTCACAGTCTGTATTTCTCTTCATTTCACAACATGCAACAATTTTCTCTGCATTTTAGCTTGTCATGACATTAACTGTATGGTTTGTGAAGAGCCAAAAAATGTTCAGGGCTTGGAAATTCTGCATGGGGAGTGAATAGGTATTCTGGGTAACCTTATGGYTTCATAATGCACCTAACACAGCATGGCAGCATAAAAGCAGCTTTGTCCACAGCTTTTACATGTAACACAGCTTCCTATAACATGCAGAAAGCAATTGTTTCTTCCATGGGGTCATCTGTATATAGTATACATTCTCTCTGAAGTGTGCCAACACCATTCCACAACAGTTTTGAAAAAATAAATAAATATTATTGCTCAAGATAATTCAGCAAGCTGAGTGGTACTCTTCAAAGAAGAGTAATATTCTACATATTTGTGTTTTTAATTCCACTCTTCAAAGAGGAGTAATATTCTACATATTTGTGTTTTTAATTCTCTAACTCAAACTTACTTTTGGTAGTAAAGATTATAAAATTCTTTCACAGAATTAAAATGGATCTTCTTTCACTGAAAACACCAGATTATATTCTGTGTACTGCCTGTGACTTCTGTAACCCAGATGGAACTTTGTATTTTGGCAATACTACAAGTACACCATAAGTATCTGATTTTGCCCATAGTCAGTGCATTCTTTGTGAAGAAAGGAAATGAGTCTGCTTCTGAGTAACTCAGTATGTAATCAATTCATAAAAGTGATTGACACCAATTATGAAAAATGCCAGTCAATTTAAAGTAATACATATTTGTATTTTTATCACTTTCTTCAGGTAAAACAGAATTTTGCCTTTCAAGAAAAGCTGCCTATTTTTCAAATATGTTATCACCTGAAATTACAGTAAACCCCTTGGGCCTTCAATTTTCCACTTAAAAATCCATTTTATTTTGTGAAATAGTCAGAAGTATTGAGTGCAATGGACTATTCATTACATACYTCCATTTATCTTGATGTAGAGAACACTACCCATATCCACTTATGGTGAAAGATCACCTGTTTCCATCAACTTGTTCCCATTGATGACATGAATGTTTATAATGGACAATTTTGCTTGATGTTAAGCATTTTGTTCCCTCACATAATGCCCTGTTTTGAGATTGAGAAAGGYTGATTACAGATGAGCAATTATGAATTAAAGCATTTTTGCTAAAGAAAAGCTTTTTTTTAGTACAGATTAGGATAGAGCATTAGTAGAATGTAACTTTATACAATGTAGAATGCATTAACTCACAGTTGTTTATAAAATTTTTGTAAAGCTGACTGACTCTAATTCTGAGGTATTGAATACCTGGGTAGCTTTCAGCTCTCCTCACTGTTTATGTATAGTATTTTATATTTTTTCTGGCATTTGAGTTGTCATTGCATTATCACACAGTATTACTCTGTGACTTTTTAATATGCACATCAGATGTCTTAGAGAACCTGTTTTATATGGCATGTGGGAAGTTTTCATAACAGCATATCTCTAGTATAAGTAAGAAAAAAAAATCAAAAACATTTGCAGACCTTCTTATGAAATAACTTTGCACAGCCCCAGTGGAACCTGCCAGGTCACACAAGCTCAGGGTCTAATCCCTCACAGGCTGTGTGGAGCAGTCTTCTTATTAGTATGTAACAAATGAACTCAACATAGATTTGTGAGKTCTAATGATTTGTAGAAATCTGCTCAAAATTTGGTTTTACTCTTCACATATTCATCACATATCTTTGATTATTAATTTTGAATCTGCATTGAATTTATACTGAATTCTTACAGCACATTTTCAGAGTGGGAGTGCGGACAGGATCTTTCAGTTTTGCCTTCAGCATATTATGAACCTATACATCAAACAGCAAAGGGGATATGGCTTGAATATAGRGCTACAGTATTTGATAAAATCAGTTGTGGTTTTGGCTTGCACATGAAGTGCATCTGTTTTCTTTTATAAATATTGATTTTTTTTTTCCCCTTTGAACTTCTTTGGTTTATTCCATGCTGTTTGTATTCATGCCTGTCTCTGTTCAAAAACAAAGGGATGCCATCTGTGGCTAATGCTCATCGTGACAGAATTATTTGACTTAATGTGGCACCTGGTTTGGCTTTGACAAGAACCATCACAAACAAAAGTCATACCCCATGATCCTACCAGAATGAGCTATGCTTGGGCTGTTTTYTTCTTGTTTTTCTATTCATTTCCTTAAGACACCCAGCTTCTGCATGTCTTTCAACTATGACAAATGATCCTATCTCAAGATAGGTTTTGCATGAAAAGTATTTTCTTCAAGATGAAGTCTGTGAATGTTGGGACGTAGGAACATGTTTGCCCAGGATCTTCACAATGTCTTGCATTAGCAATTTAAGGAACACTGTTACTCAAAAAGTTAAATTAATATTTAACCTGTTCTAGGAAAGGTAGGATTGGGGAAAGGGCTTGGGAGAAAATGCAGAGGAGATAAATYTTGTAATCTAGGAAATCTGATAGTGAAGAGGAGCTGCTAAATCATTTCTATTTGTGGTGGTTGCACCATGGACATTTGATTTTTCAACAGCAAAATAATAACTTTTAGCTCTTGCACTCTGTCACTCATTGGTAGATCACAAAACCCAGTTTATTCATGAGATTCATGCCTATATCTGCTTTCCAGATGAGAAAAAAATTGAGGCCCAGGGATGTGAAATGACATGTTTGGATTCTGTCTGCAGCTGGTGGCTGAATCAGGACTAGAAGTTTGTATCTCCTGAGCCAATGCCTTACTCAGCATGCCACAKCTACAGATGCAGATTAGCTCACTTATGACTAATTGCAATAATGCAGATGAAAAGGAAGAAAGGAAACTTCTACCTGTAAAATGGTTATGTGCTTTCTGCTTATCAGTGGTGCTGATCATAAGATTGAGAAATGACAGCGCAGTGAAGAACAAACTAGCCCACCAAAACCTTTTCCATTCCTATTTAGCATTGATGATTGAATCTGTTGTAATATGAACTTTATCCTTATTGCTTTCCCAGAAACAGCAAAAGCCTGAAAGAACTTCCTTCTGTGCAGGTTGTAGACTGATAAACTGAGTGTGATCAGGACAGTGACAGAAGTCTTTCCAGCTCAGTGGTTCTTCTCTCAGAACCTCAGTGTAGGGCCTGCCTCGCTCTCTGGTGTCTTGCTGTAGGTAGAGTGCAGAGGGAAACCATACTAAACACTTTGCTGTGCTCCATCTGCTGGCTTAAAAAGTAATTTGGGAATTAATAGGCCTTTGTCCAGTTTGATCTGAATGTTATTTCAGTTTTCTGTAGTTTGAAATTTATAAAAGCTTGTGAAATCCTACACTTGCCAAAAAGTTTTGTTTGTGTGGAAGGGTAATACATGCATCTTAATCAGTTATCYTCTGGTTAGATTTTGGTTGGAGCACATGTTTTTCTTTCTAAGACAGCAAAGAGGTGTGCAAAAAAGACTTTGTTGAGAAGCAGAGAATCTTTACATACACCTATATGCCCCTAGTGCCCTTCTCTGTTTCTTTTCTCACTGCTGTTCTCTGTTTGAYCTCATCTCCAAAGGGTTCTGTCATTTTTTTGCATTCAAGTGCTATGGTCACTTTCTTCTGTTTCCTGTAATGGAGAAAGGAGAAARGTGTTGACAGAGGCAACAAAAGTGATTTGTGATTTCATTGCACATTCAGCTACAAGGTGTTAGGCTTTGACCGGGAAAACGGTTTTGTTTGAACAAAATTAACTCTTTACACTTAYCAAAAATGCTAAGGAAAATGAATGAGGGGAAAACAATTTAGGGGCAGATATGAGACTTTGAAAGACTTTTGTATTGTGCAGGATAAACTGTGATGTGGGAACTGCTGGTTTAGACAGATTACTTTTGAGGTGTATGACCTGTTTATTGTGTACAAGTMATTCAATGACATAATATGAAACGCTTTCCAATGTGCATATATGATTATTTCACATGTAAGAAAGCAGTTCCTTATATTACAAGGATACCCATGACATTGTGTATTCAAGAATATGTCAGTTGGCGTAATTCAATATTCTCTATGGTATTTCATGCTTTTTGTCTTCTAAATCCCACAATTTTAAATCAGATAATAGACATTGATTATATAGCTCCCATTAAAAGAGGCTTGGTTAGGAGAGAAGACCAGTTTTACAGGCATAAGTGGTAATGAGAGATTTTAGCAAGGAGATCAGCACAAAGAGGTGACATTGAATATTCTGCAARTACAGCATGAAGTTGACATCAGAATGCATCACATGAATAACTCTTATGCCAGCATTGCTGCTTCTTTGCTCACTACAATTAACTCTAGCAAAAAAAAATGTTTACTGAAGCAGATAACTTTCATGTGGAACTTTTATATGATGTTGCTGTTCCTTGTTGTGTAGTGGTGCCTGTATAAGCACTGTGTCACCCTGCATCAGAGGAGAAAWATCCAGGATTTAATGATAATATCCTAGGCAGAACCACTGAGAAATGGCACCCTATTTCATATTGGTTTTTTCCATACTAGAATACATAGTCTTGTCTTCACATATTAATAATTACATATAGGGATATCTTTTGGTAGCAACAGCCACTTGATAACGTTAGTGTCGAAACAAAGAATTACAATAAATTTGAATGCAGGAATGCATGCTGGGTCTCCAGTGAAATATTATTGCAATTTTAAAGGTATGAAAATTTATGGAGTCTATGAATGTGCTTAGCAAGTTCTTCATCTTCYTCAGTGGGCTTCAGATAGCAGTTTCTATTCATTTTTTATTATTACTTTTTRAAATGCTTCAAGTGTAGATAATTTGTGGAGTATGTGGGTGAGGATAATACAGCCAGATCATAACAAAAGAGATTTTTACTTGTGAAACACTTTAAKGGAAGAGAAAGATAAACACTGAAGAGCTCTTTCTTTAGCTGTTTCTGGTTTACAGCACAGGTTTTGTAGGGAAAGAGCTGCAGAACCTCAGTGAAAGAATTCACTGTGGATCTCATTAGTAACATTATGTGAAATTTGGACTAATGTGCTGTAATTTCTTTTTTTTTCTTTCTTTTTGTGATCCAGACTTCCACATTGTTAAGAGCATCTTTAGCCTCTGTGTAAGTATTTGTTTGCTGAGCTTCATTTCTGTGTAGAGAAGAGGAGGAAGGGTTTGTAAACTGAAGTACACAGTGCCACTTGTCTGCAAACAGGAATCACTCCTCCTCCGTGCTTCCTCTCATCACAGTGAACATTAAAATATTGTGTGATCTGTGTTCTTCTGCTGAGCAGCTTCAGTGACATTCTAATTTCAGCAGGATGTTGTTAATCCAGTAAATCTGCCATTCCACACCTGTGAGGTTGTTGCTGTATTTTTCTGTTTCCGCATATTTCAGTCCTGTTGTTGTAATTGGTTTGATTCTCACAAATCCAGGAAAAGTGGGAATCACTAATATGGATTTTTGGCTGCTTCAACTTCAGTTTTTCAGTGACTGGCTTAATAAATTTTGGCTTATAATATTGAATAGAGATGGTATATTTAAGGTGAACTTTTATTAAATTTTTGAGACACTGTTTTTATCCTGTTGTTTACAAGATAAGGGGGCAATTTTACATAGGATATAAAATTTGTTTCGTAAAGTGGTAGGATGGGAAGATGTTAAAACATTTCAGTGGATTATATTTAAATATTAAGATTAAAACGTTGATTGGAAGTAGTTTTCTTAAGAGAAACTTCTATTGCAGTGTTAAATCTTAAAATAGCAAGATAGTGATGTACAGAAAGTGGTCCTGTATTAAGTCTCATGTTAAGCTAGCATACTCCAGCCTGTAAAAATCCATTCAGCCCACCCCACCTTTGCCTTGGAGAAGATATTTCTGTGTGCATGAGGCCTTAGAGGTGGAGTTGGAGCTGCAGCTTTTTACTGCATCTGTTTTTAACTGTCAGGAGCCACAAGCTGCTGCCCTCATGCCCTTGTGATCCAGCAGGGGAGGGAAAAAAAAGGATATTACTGTACTGTTCTGTGCCAGTAAAAATCCCAGATCATCCACTGGCTGGTTGTCAGTTTACTGTCTGCAAGTTATGATGGTAAGGGAGCTGCATCCATAGTTAAAAAATAACCCCAAGGTAAACAAGTCTGTTCTAACACTATAGAGGTAATAAAAGTAACAAAAGTGTGAAAATGTGGAAGCTCTTTTCCCGAAGCACACTTCCTGTTTTGGCTCTTCTCACCTCAGTAACATCAGCTGCACTGAACAAGGAGAGAGAGARTTTTGATGAATGTCTTTTCCGTTTGCATTCAGGAAGATGTACGATGTGCCATTGTTGCCTTCTTTGGATTATGAGAAGCTGAAGAAAGATTTGGTTACAGGGAATGATCGTCTCAAGGCCTTCCTACTGCAGGCTCTGCGCTGGGTAAGGACAGGGGTCCAGAACTCAGATCCATTTTGCAAACAAGATGGTTGTGCTGATCATGAGTGCATCATCCCAGGCACCTTCTCTAGGTGATGCTTGCTAAGGCTCTTGAGATAATGAAGGCAGCCCAGGCAGGAGGTGTCTGTTTGTAGTGTAACAAATTCATCACATGAGGAATTCCCAGATTTCTGAGATATTCAGTGGAAATAATTTCTGATGTATTTTCAAATGATTTGTTGTTTTAGGTAGTTCCTTTTTCCATATATCTTTTTGGTTTACATTTATATAAATACATTATTATATATACTTTATATATATACTTATACACATATTTTTTACAAATATATAAACATCCAAGACATACCCAACTCTAATCACCAGTTTTCTTTTATAATCAGGGTGTTTTACAGGAGCCTGCCTTTTSGTTGACTTGGATCCTGTAATGACATTTCAGAAACATTACAGGTGACAGCAGGAAGCTACATTTTCCTGCTGAAAGGGAAGCTGATGGGTTCAAAGTGACAGACATGAAAAATGATAATAGTGGAATTCTGATCAAGCTTCAGTGTCCATTTTCACATTAAAAAACATCCRTTTGGTCTGACCAGGGGTACTTCTAGCCCAGTGTTCTGTCTCAGATGTTTAAGAAAAGTACTACATCTGTAGCTATTAGAGGGGCTTTTTTAACTTTATGGGACCAATGCTRTGTCCTTCCTGTATGCACAATGATGACAGCTCCCAAGTAACAGTTTTGTAACGGATCATGGAGCTGAGGTCAGGTCAGTTCATTTCCWCTCTTTCCCTTAGATCACTGAGGTTGAATTCCTCCTCCCCATGATGGAGGTTTCTCAGCACCTTTAAAATCTCTAGGGGTCATCAATCCACAGTTTTGGCTCTTTGGATTTTTTTTTCACTTGTTTGTTTCTGTTGTTATTTATTTTAGCGCTTGACAACATCATATCCTGGAGAGCAGAGAGACACTGTCATGCAAGCCTACATCAGTAATGACCTCCTAGACTGCCACAGCACCTGTCAGGTCAGTTTGAAACTAAGAACTGTCAGTGATCCAACTTCTGTGTGATACTGCTCATTCGTATTCATAAAGTGCTGATTGTAAAATTTTATTGCTCTCTGGTAGGAGAGAAAAAAAAAAAAGGTAGTAGTGCCAAAATCAGGTGGTACATTTAGYTTCTGCATGCCAGTCTTTAAATGTTGATGGCAAAGCTTTTCATTACAAGAGCTCTTAGTGTAAGCACAGTTCTTGWAGACGAATGGAAATTTATCACCTCTCTGTGCTTAATTTCTGTGAGCTGAACCAAAGCCTAAGGTCCTTTACATCTTGTTTATCAGATCCTATGTCTCTATTTGAGTGATTGTGTATTGTTAAATAATACACTCAATTCATTTCATTGATCTAAGATAAGAACTAGATTAAGACTTCCGTTCCAGATTGCTATGGAATACGTCATTGTGCAGCTGCAGTAACGTGGTCAGCCATGTTTCTGTGAATTTGAGGTGGATTGGGACCTTTCTTTAGAAAGGAGAATTGCTGGTGTGTTGGTTTTGAAAAGTTGTTTCAGTCCCTGATAATYCAGTACTGTTGCTAACAAAAGCACAACTTTTTCATTGGTTGTAGTGAATTTTGTGCATAATTGAGTTCCCCAGGAGTTTGAGGCACTGAGCGTACTTGGTTCATTGTGACTTCATTGTCTTTGCAACAGTCACTTGTACTACTAGGAAATATAGAGGATTATTAAATCAATCATCTATTTTCTTCCTCGTAAATTTCTGTAAGAGAGAAGTTGTAAGTAATGCCTGAAATAAAACAGATTAGAAATAATTGCAGTGTGGTGGTGTTCATAAGTTACTGAGCTGCTTCCCACACTCTTGGTTGTCAAAGAAAAGAATTTATATTCAGGTCATATTTCTGCACTTAAGTTCATTAGCAAAACTAAGTTGTTTGCTTGGGGGATTTTTTTTTTCACTGACTGAATATTAATTTTAGGCACCAGGCTTTAACCAGATTGTGTTATAACTTTCATATAACTCATTATAACTCCACACTGTAGAGCTTAATGGTGTTTTAACCATTCAGCTGAGAAGCTGTAATTTGCCTATTTGTCCATTTTCCATCTCTCCTTCAGCCCTCTGCCAATAAAAAAAGAAATTMTATATCACATTGACAAATCAATATGCATCCAAAGGGATTTTTTTGGTGTGTAAGTTTTTAGAACATTGTAGAAGACTAACTTCTGTGTTTTCCTTCTTTGTGGTTTATTAACATTTGCTTTCTATTTCAGAGAAGCGTCCTGCAATTATTATATTCTAAGAGTGAGGTAGTCAGACAGTATATGGCAAGGCTCATCAATGCTTTTGCTTCACTGATAGAAGGTAAAAGATTCTCTGCAAAAAATAAGACAGCATTTTCATGTAATGCTCTCTTATTGGTGCTTCACAAGTGCATGTCAGTGCATGTGGAAATTTAGAGCCYTATTTGTGCCCTTTTTCTAGGGATTCAGTATCTTTTATTGCATGCGTTCAAAACAGCTTTTCAATATCTGAAAAATTTTCATTTTGTCTCTGTATATTCAGCATTTCTGACTTGTTCTGATGACKTGTGATCTTTGTTGGAACTTACTCAGATACTGCCTTCAATACAGTCTTCTGTCTCTGTGAGGATTAAAAAGAAAAAGTCCCCATTARTTAGGGGTCCTGTAGGCAGATCTGCTACCAGGCTGTGCAGCATTAGCTACTGTGGCTGCTCCTGCATTTTCCTGGTCCTCACCTGGATAAATCTTTGTGCATCACTGCTGACTGTCTAGATGCATATATATCCGGCTTCATTTCTCTGCCTGTCCCAAATTAGCCTTTGGTTTGCTTCTGTTTTGGAGTATTGCTAGGAGTATTGCTAGGAGTTGAAATCTCATTTAAAGTAGCAGGAGGGCACCTGACTTTCCCAAGCTCCTTRGACATCTCTTTTCTTTACTCTTTTCTAACAAAACTGTTAGATCAGAAAGCATGTACTAACAGTGGATTCTGTGTGGTACTAATTTGGCAAGTGTGCATGTCTAAACCTCAAGTGTCTGTATTGAATGCAACTGGTCTGCTRCACAACTTTGTGCAGGTTTGTTTGGGTCTTGGCACAAGATTGTGGCTTGTCAAGAGGAAACTGAGGTCAATCCTGCTTACTTTTCCAARGAGAGGGAGCTTTTCTGTCATAGCTGCTATCTCAGCATCTGTTCTTTCATCRCTTTTTGCACCAGGTCGTGGCTACCTTTCTCAGAACCCAACAGTGCTGCGAATGCTGGAGGACAGACTGAAAGCTGAAGACAAGGATTCGCTTACATGGGAGAATGTTCTGGGGGCTCTGCAGAAATTCAGCCTCAGGTGATGAAAGCACAGCGTGTGGTGGTGACAGCAGGAGAGGAAATGCAGGCTAGTTAGGCTCTGTTCAGRGAGGAAAGAAGAGCACTTGATTTTCCCATAACAATCATCAGAAGCCCTTATGGCTGATGAAAGCAATGTCACTTATTATGGAGGAGAACTCAGTYTTGCTGACTGAATTAACCTGACTTCCTACCAGCTGTCAAGGCTCAAGTAAATGTGCATCTCCTGCCACAACCTTGTGTGCTTTATATGTGTTCCTTAACTGAAGAAAGTGAAAATTTTAATGTAGAAAGTTCTGASGATCCTACATAGAAAAAAGGGCTGTGTTACTTTCCAGAGCATAAGGTTTTCATTATCCTTTCTGCAAACATTTTTCAGGGATTTCATCTTTATCCTGTTGACCCTCTTTCCTGGTGCTGTCTGTGCATGGGCTGTCTTGTGTYTTACTTTTGCATTAGCAGTCTGACTCAAATGGCCACCTCAAAAGAAATATGAAAAAGCAGTAAAGGGCACGATGTTGCTCAATTTATCAAATAAATATGATCCTGGGGACTCTATTTTCACAGTATTCAGGAGAAATGCTGAAAATTTTGAAGTTTTTTACTTTCTAAAAAGTAACAATCTTACAGAAGGTTAATTCCAGATACTTGACATGAGCAAAATTCTTTAAATGTGTGGTCAGATGCTCCCTTGTTTTGCCTAGTCCGTGCCATAGACCTGCTGCAATATCTAGCACTGAGAAAATATACGAGCTTTCAGGAGTAAAACCAGGAAAATACCTGCTTTGATGTTTGCAATTTAAATTTTATGCCTCTTGGAAATAATGTTACTAAAAATGCTGCTCTTCAGCAAGACTTTTCTACAAGTATCATTTTTTTTTTGTAATTTTTTTTGTGGAATTTCTGTTGTAGGTTACAGTTGGCCAGCTGGAATTTTGCTCAGCATATTTTCCAAGGGCAATTACAAGTTGAGTTAAAAGAGAATGAGATTTAAGAATCTCTAGAGAAAAGTGAAAATATGTTCAAGCAAAAAACCTCATYTGTCAAATCAACAGTACAAAAGTGCTGCTGTGCTTTGGCTACCTGTGACAGAAGAAGTAATTAATTTGTTTTATGGATCTGTTGTGTGTAGCTGGCTTTTTAAACCAATTTTAAAAGACAATTGAAAATGCCATTTAAGCTGGAGTAAGAAGCCTTGGAAAACAATGAAGAAATTTATCTTAACAGTTCACAGGTTTAAAAAGACCAAAATAAAAGACAACCCCCCAATCTATCCAACAATGTTTTAGTCCTCTAACCATATGGGAATCTGCATCTTCAATTTCTTCAGGCTTTGTTAATTACTTGGTTTAATTATTCTGCCAAAATGAGTAGTTTAGGGATTTCTTTTTTTTTGGCAGGCTAGTGTATTTTTAACGTGCTTATACTTTCTATAACTATTTGAAAGCTATTTATGTTTTGATCTGACMTTAGTGATTTGTGATCTGATTTTGTTTTTAATCCTAGGCGTACACTGCAGACGGCAATGATCAAAGATGGGCTCATTTTCTGGCTGGTTGATGTTCTAACAGACACAGATTGCCTGTCTGATTACACCCTGGAGTATTGTGCTGCCTTGCTCATGAATCTTTGTCTGCGAAGTGCAGGTGTCTTTTATTTTGAATTACAACCTTATTCCAAGAAAYAGATAGGGAAGGTTGTGACTCTTTTTTTATCTTGTTATACCAGGATTCTTTCAAGTGCCTATTATCAGTAGAAAGGACCACAATCAGAGATATTTGAATGTTTTAACCAATGCTTTTGAGCAGATTTCTTTTCCCAAAAATCCCAATTATGAAACTTAGCTTCAYCAAAATCTAAAGAATTAAGCAATGGAACCCTATAAGATTTGACTATTTTTCATATTAGTATGTGAAGGGTGCTATTGCTACATTCCAGGCCTACTTTTCAAAGAACAATTTGTGTCCACTTACTCACTCTGTGTARGAGATTTCTTCATAAACAGGAAGAACTGGGTTGAGGACTAATGRTGATGAGTTTAACCTTCACCTTCCCTTCACTTCCGCAATGCAGAGATTCCCCCCAAGAAAATAAGAGCCAGTCTGTGTCCAAGAGATTTAAAAAGAGCTTAAAGTAAATTTCCTTTTAAAAAGGAAAGTAAGGGTGAAAAATCCTCTGGTTGTTGTAAGAAAAAAAAAAAAAGCCTTTGTTAATTTTTTTAATCACCTTTCTGTTTCATCCTTTCCAAGATTACAACTGCATAAACCCAGAGTAACTTCACTGACTTCAACTCAGTTATGCTGAGCAGCATTAGTCAGGGACAAGGAACAGTATTGCTCTGGGCAAATTATGTTTGATAGTGACTCTAAAAAGTAAGAAAGAAACTTGCTCTGATCTGTTATATTTTTTTTCAAGTATATTTATGTATTCTGCCTTTGCAGGGAAGGAAATGTGTGCAAGGATCCCAAACGACGTGCTCAAAGTTCTTTCTGAGCTTCTTGGCCATGAGAATCCTAAGGTATTTGTACAGCAAACTCTGGGTTAATGAAAATGTGGATAGAAAATTGAAAGACAAAAAAAAACAAGAAAGGGAAAAATGGAAAAAAGTGAATTGGTTTTGTYTCCTTTATTAGGCCTTCATGTAATTAAGTTGTATGATTTTTTTCTAAAATTCACAAATATGTAAATTTTGTTTCATTGAGTAGTGGTTTTTCTAGACAGAAATAGGTCTTCCTTTAACAAATGTTGGCAGCTAAGAGTGGCAGCTTTTAGATGCAGTTATCATGCAGTCCATGTGYCTTGATTGCAGTTTCTGATGCTGTATAAATGTCGTGCACCAAATCACCTAAAGCTTAACTTGTTCTTGAGATGAACAATGCATGATGTAARTCCATTATGCAAAAACATCAGGTGCAGAGAAACACATTTGCTGTAGTTTTAAGAATGCTTGGACTGAAATGATTAGAAAATGCTGCCATACTGTTGAAGTCTGTGCCTTAAAATGACTTTGAAATTTCTSTCAGAGGGTTCATTTTTACAATGTAGTTTGCATTTAGTTTGGCAAAAGTTTTATTACCAAAGTCTAAAGTGGAAGACAGTGCTCTTGGRTGTGAGGAGACCCTCATGAGAAGCTGTGGAATCCTTGTGTAAATCCCTTACCTTCCTGTAAGTCCCTTACCTTCCCTGGCTTTTCTTGCTCCCAGGCCTGCTCATTGTTCATTTTTCCAAAGGTGAAAACAAAGGATGACTGAAAATCCTARTGCTCCAAGAGTAACTGGCCGGTAGAAAGGGTCACATAAGTACTGGTAAAACTAGTTTTAACATCTGGTGGCTTTCACTAGCCAATAATTCAGAGCTTTTATGCTGGCAGGTTTTTTTCCTCTCCTGAGGGACAGTAACAGGCAGCAGAGTGAGAGGATGTTTGAAGCTGGTTTGGCTTTATCATCCTGCCTAAGGCTACAATGCTTGAAGCCTGTATTGAGTTCATGCTGGCAGGGTCTTTTCCCTGTTCTTTGTACTGTTTTTTGTTCTTCCACTAGTGTTTGTCAGAAACTAACCTTTTTTTTCTGCTTTTCTCTCTTTTCTTTATTTTTTTTTTCTTATGGCTAGGTCAGTTTGCAAGAATACATTATCAGAAGCAGGGAGGCTGTTTGGAAATTGTCATGCAAGCATACTGGTTTAGATAACCATATCACAGTACATTTGCATCCTAAGAGTTCTCTGCTTCCCAAGTGGGAATTTTTGCAAGTCTAGCCTGGTTAAACTCTTTGRACTATAATTGTTCTGCACTTTCATTCTTACATTTTGCTTGTAGTCGGCTGGGATGAATGTAAAAGTTTTTCTTCATGGTATGACTATTTCTTYCTCTTAGATCCAGTCATATGTGAATGGAGTACTGTACAGTATCCTGGCCATCCCTTCTGTCCGAGAAGAAGCCAAAGCAATGGTAAGAAGTGCTGCTTTGCATAGCATGAAAATCCACACCTCTGCCAGAGATGGCCCAGACAGGGACCTGCTGAGCAGGGCACAGCAGGGCTGTGAGCTGGGAGCCAGGGCATTYTGAGAAGGGAACCCACAAGAGTCCCTCCCCCTTCCCATACTTCCTCAGGCAAGTATGAATGTATGTCTCAAACACTTTTGTCCTGTTCTCTGATCTTTTCCTGCGAGTGGARCCCAGTAGTGTGAAGGATTCTGTGTGAATTATAAAAGAAAGGTGTTATTTTAGAATAGTGTGTCCTTCTAGCATTTTGTAGACTCTTTGTGGCACAGGAGATGCTTTCATCTCATCTGCTACTTCTTCACCTTTGGTAGCTCATTCTGCACCTGTGAGTAGCCACTAAAAGGAGGAGTTGTTCTTTCTGCTTTTCCTTTTGCCTAGTATAGACATGGCCATTTGGGGAAGGAGCAGGAGGAAGGTTTCAGAACTAGGAATTGAATTCCTTTGAAAGTCAGTCTAATGGTATTGACTGTGTCTCAATTTCTGTGAGGAAGCTKCTCCTGGAATAGCAGCATGTCTTTGTATCCTAAGAACTAACACAGAGAGTTATGCAGATGTAATTGTTTTCAGATGTTCTACCTCACAGAGCACAGAGGATTGAAAGTGATCTTAAATGATTAAAGACACGACATCAAGCCTGTAAGGGGCCATAAAGAGAGAGACCAGGTTTAAAGTCAAAGGTGGTTCTGCTTATTGCTTTCCTACTCTGAATCTCTTGCACTGTTGTCTCTGTGGATGCAAATTTTATCCTTTTCTGAGGAGTATTGTGTATGAATTCAGAAGGCAAAAGCAGCAGATCTATTGTAAAAATTTGCTGTTCATCATGGACATGTCTCTGTTCAACCTTCAAAGTAGTCTAGAGAGTGTATTTCTTTTGTCTGTGCAGCCTTTGGAGTTGGACATGGTGGTTTGCTTCTGGTTTTCCTGACCCCCCAAAAAAATATGTTAGCTAACAGAACTCTGTCACTGTGGTCACATGAAATACTCATCTATCAGTGTTTTCTGCTATACCCAGGGAATGGAAGAAATTCTGCGCTGCTTTATCAAGGAAAGAAATGAAGAGATGGTTCGACAGATGGAATTTGTTATCAAGCAACTCAATTCAGGTCAGAAYACATGCAACTATCAGAGCTTTAAGTCTTTCACAAAAGCCATAAAAAAGCTCATTATTTTACTTGTCATTAGAATCCTCAAAGAATAACAATAGGGTGATGGTCTGAGAGATGGTGAATAGTGARTGTCAGGATTTGAATGTCATGTATTTTAAAATTTCCTTTATTTTGTAGTAATAAAGAAGAAATGAAAGGCTGAATAAGTCTCAATTCCAAAGTTTTGGRACCATAAATAAAATTACCTTGACTGTTTTCTTTCATACTGGTGGTCTGATGGTAATGAGAGACTGCTGYCAACTGCAAAAATATTGTTGAAATTTATAAAACAGGATTTAGGGTCTGTCTGAGCTCATCTTCTGCTCTACTGAGGTGTCACTTTATCTGAAATGGCTTATCCTGAATAGGGAGTAGAGAGCATCCTTTTTGAAGAGTATGTTGATGGGTCACAGGAGTTGTAGATGCTGTTAATACCGACAGAGAAGGTGAAATATTTGTTCCATTTTCTGTTGCCYGTGACTGAAAGGAAGACTGAAGAAAGAGAAGAGAAAGCAAATAATGAAAAGGAGATTAATTCTGTTTGATTCTTTTGGTACAATAAACATAGAACAAGTTGAACTGCTCTCTGGCTTTTGGAAAGAGAACACAGCCCTGAATTACAATTCTAGCTTGTAAAAGAACAAATAAACTATTTAAGCACTGTATTGCCACTATACAATATTTGTTCTTCAAGGTTATAGAACCACTCCTTCTCTACCTGACAATGGTACTTTTAAGAAGTTTTATTTGAGTAGTTGATGAGTACAAGTTGTGTGTTTAGATTTCCACCATAAACTTGGCCACTTTTTTCTTGAGGAAATAATTTTGTCCAAAATTTAAAATAAGTATTCTGCWTGATTACTAACTTTTCATGCACAAAAGCAAAAGTATTTGTAGGGAGAAGTAGAGTCTCTTATTAAAAAAAAATTGAAAACTAGACAAATTGGTGAGTGCACACACTGTTGTTCAAGTCTTCTTGGTAAATGCAGTGAGACATAATTGTGGATCTTATGAGAAAATAACTGTTCCAGAATTTCTGCCATTTTCCAAAATATTGAGTTCAGTGATTTCTAGAATGCTTGTAGGATCAAAGTATTCCAATAGTTGTCCTGAAGAAGACATTCCAATATGAGAAACAGGTTAAATCTTGCTCTTGTAAAAATGGAGTAATAATGAGATTCTGTTAAGCAGTACACGTGCAACTTAACTGACATAATTTTGTTTTGCTCCTTTCTAGAAGAGCCATTCAATAGTATTGTGTCTGAGGATGAAGAGGAAGAGGAGGATGAGGATGTAAGTGTAAAGGTTTTCTGACATCTTTCAGAAAAATYTTGAACCTTCTAGAAAGAAAATATTTGTGTCGATAAACCAGACTTTGTTTTTTTGGTTGGTTTTGCATTTGATTTTGCTTAAATATTTTTGCATTAACAAGAAAATTTGATATGTTTCCATTACCTTTTCTTTATTTCAAGTCCTACTCTTACTCTGGTAACGTACCACCTCTGTGATAACTAAAGGATTATAGCTTGACATAGGTGAAGAGATGAGGAGTTACTGCAGCAGTAGAAATCTTGCTTTCAAGCAGACCCATTGGGTGCAGTTAAGAAAAAAAAAAAAAGGAAGCAAATGAATAGTATGTTACCAGAACAGTTTATAAACAAGTTGTCACTCTTTTTTTAAGGTATCATAATCTGTTCAGGGTGTGACTTTGTTTGCTGTTTAGAAACTCTGAAATTAATTTAATAAATTTCACTAAAATTAACAAGCTAAGCAAGATGTGAATCATGTGACGGAAATGTTATACCCAGTCTTCACTGSTGGTGTTGCCGTTTTTGCATCACCATAAGTGCACAGTGGGGGCCTGAAAATACAGTGTCAGCAGTTATGTGGGAATTTTTTAAAAGGAAATCTACCTCATTGCATTTTTATTTTATTGAGAAGCCTTGCTTGAGAAATTTCAAAGAACAGCTCTGGTAGATGTCCTGGGAGGAGTATTTGTGCATACTTAGGGGTGTGTGTGTGTGCACATACATTCATAGCACGTGTTGTGCCCTGAAGAAGGCTGTGACATGGAGAGTTAGTGAATTACAAAATGTTCTTCTATTACACGTGTTACTGGAGAGCATATTTACTCAAAATCATGTTTTTAGACAAAATGTAAGGTTTTTGTCCTGAACCAACAAATAAGACACATAAAACTAAGTCAGTTGTGTCCACGTTGTAGTAGCTGTTTGTGCATTAATGGGAATGACAGTGACTGGGGAAAACCAAATCTAAAACTTATCCTGTTACTGCAGCATGACTGAGTGCATTTTCTAGTGCACATGGACCCTCTTATATTTTGAGAGCAGATGAAAACATAAATATCCCAACTGTAACAGGTGTGGTGTACTCTCAGCTGCTGTGGGGTGCAGCACCTTGCAGGATCCAGCCTTTGACTGGCCGTGTCCAGGGAAGCCTTGCACTGGTTGGATTATTTATCCAGTTTCTGTGTTGTGGCACAATAGGAGGTGAACATGGGAACTAATCACCCTTGTGACTGTGCCTAAAATTAGAGCTGTGTGGAAATTCTAATTTTAGAGCTACAAAGAAGTTTTATTTACCAATCAGCTCTCCCCTTTTTATTCTAAGGGAGCACATTAAACTTTTTTTTTCCAATTAGGATTAGATTATTGTAGTTGCTCCATTTCCTGCAGTCCTGAAGTCAGTTTTTGATAATCTTTRCACTCCTCCAACGCAAAATCAATGCTTGTCATGCAAGATGAGATTCCTGGAGATTAATCATTAAAACTTCCCTTTGCTTAAAATGCTGAATATCCTCTAACTGTTGTTTCAAGGCTTAGAATGTCTTGGGTGTATCATGAGAATCCAAGGGGATAATACTTTTGCTTGAACTTAAGTATACTTTTTTAAAGGATACTGTGTTTTTTGGGAAAACACATAGATAAGGAACTCCTTCCTGAAAGATGTGGCATTGAATTGCATGATGTTGAACACTTCCATCACTTTACCTGTTCTTGGGAATGAAAGGAAGGTGAATTCTCCTGTTCAGTCATACCCCCGAGATGAGTTGCTGCTGCTCACAACCCCAGCCAAGGCTCTAGGTCAAATCCTTTTGAAAGGCRTTTTTCCCACTTGACCATCATGTGATTAAAATGGACTTCTGGCATTTCTTATTATTTGACTCAAAAAAATAACAGTAGGTTTTTAAAACAGAGAAGTGTCCAATTCCAAATTTTCATTAGCTTCGCCATTATATTAAAAAGAAAAGCCCCATTTGAAACTGTTTTTAGTGTAACATGAATTGCAACACATTCTAAATCCTTATTGCTGCTGGGAACTATAATTCTGTTTTGCTACAAAGATGTCTGATTTCTTAGTCCCTCAGGTTAGAAAATATATTTACAAATATCATGGCAATAATACAAAATGTTGTTACTTCGTTAAATAAACAAAGATTTGTTGACTCACTACCTCAATGCTTTTGTATTTTGAAATTGCAGTGAGTTATTGTTCTCAATGGCATTCTGTGATAACATCTGATGTTGTGATCTGGCAACAGAAAGTTTTGGAAAATTTTATCAAAAGTCTTGCTTTTATGTAACTTTTAAACTACTACGGAATGAATGTATTTCAGAATATGTCCATATATTGCCAATTTTGCCAATTTAGTGACATGCTTTCAGACTGCTTRCTGATGTTAGAATTTGTTGCTCAATACCTTTATTTATTCTTTAACAACTTACGAAACCACAAAAAGACACTCTTATGCAGCCTTAATTTGCAGGTTTTGCTCCAGCTTTTATTGTTTACAAGAGCATGCAAATGTTCCCAGGGCTGTTACTTTTCATGGCRTTTCTTTGCTTTAATCTGTGTTTAGTTTAGAGTTGATGAATTCTCTCCTGGCTTTGAGCAGATCTTGTGGTAATGACTCTTTTCTCCTAAACACTGTGGCCAAGATGCAGTTGAGCCTGTTTGAGGAAAATTCTGGGATTTCTAAGGGCATCATGCACTTAGAAATTTAAGATTCTGTACCGTGTGACTCTGGAGCATATAACCATATAAAAAATGTCTGTGTGGGTACTGTTATTCAGAAATAAATTGGCTTTTGGGTTTGTCTGGTGAGCTTTAAATTAACTATTGTGGAGCTTAGGATGCACTGGCTYCTGGAGTACATAGCCAGCCTTGAGATGTCAGCCTTCTGGGGTGTGTTGACACCCACAGCCACAGTGTGTGTTTCCTAGTGCTTAATATTCTCTTGACTGGTCTGTTAAATACTAACGTAATTTATCTTCAGTATTTGATCTTTGCATTTGCTTTTTATTTGWCTTGGACCATCTTGAAAAGCTGCTTGTAAAAGTGAAAATGTGATATTGTAGCTCTAATTCAAAAGTTTAGTTACAAGCTGGTGGTGTGTGAAGTGACTCTACAGTGAGGATTTATCAGACACTCTCTGATCCACCGTCACTCAGCACCTGGCAATAAAATCAGAGAGCTGCCGTGTGAAAATACACTTCAGCYAGAGAGTACATCAAAAGAAAGAACTTAATCATAGGGCTTTGAGCCATTGCCTTAAAGGGCTTTGCTGCCAACATCTGCTGCAGCCCCTGAGCAGTGGTGAACAGGGCASCAATTGTGTTCTTTCAGCAGTGGAGTGATGGCACACTGGGCAAAAAGTCCTTGTTTCRTACAAGGAGACAGAGGAGGGACACTTACAGCTCGCTCACCTGGTAGGTTAAATAATGTCAGGGAGCAGGATTGGCTGCATTTACAAACAAAAATCCCACCAGACCTGTTTATTGAGCTCATCTTTGCAAGTTTTTCTGCCCACATCAAAATACAGCATATGGTGGGCGTTGGAGTATGTGGAGGTTTTTTTGGGGAGCGTTTGTTTTTTGTTTGATACAGGTGATTGTTACCTAGTCTACATGTGTTCATCTTTTTCCTTTATCTGGGTTATTTTTTACACATACCCAGCTTTCCAGGTAATTAAGAGCTGATTTTGACTATTTAAAACTGACTCTTCATCTCACTAAAATGAAACTTTTCATTTTTATTGTGTCTAGAGCTCATCAGAATCCAGTGGCCTTTGTTTTTAATGGAATTTATGCCAGGCTCTCTACGTAGCTATTTCAATATACTTTTTTGGAACAATTCCTTTTCTCATTTGCTGTTTTTGACAGTCATTTACATTTACTGTCACAACCTGTTTCAAAAGCAAAGAACATTTTCATCATCTGGAGTGGGTCTGTCTTAGGATATCTTGTGCAGGACAGAACAGAATTCTTTTTAGTAGCAAAACACAAGCAAAAGCACTGTCTTGTTCTTGTACTAATGGTTTTGGTTTGCTGRAGGAATCCCTCAAACTTTAACATTTCCTGGCTTTTTGATCTGTGGAAGCTGCAGAGCTTCCATGAAAGATGAATCACCCCAATTATTCTAGAAAGAGGCACAGGAGAGCAGATTCTTGTTACTTTTTGCTTTCAGTTGATTACACTTGGGGTTTGTGAAATAAAATCAAGAGAGGATCATTCCCTTGTACGATATTTGTATCCTGAAATACCGATTCCAAGATTTTTATACTAGCCCCATATTACCAGCTTTAAAGCTTCCTTGCAAACCTGAGTTTCTTATTGCCATTGCAGGAGGACCGTGATGTGCTGGAGCCTGATCTGGAYAAAGATGAGGTTTTGCTGCCACAGCTGGGAGAGCTTTCAGGAGAGAAACTGCTAACAACTGAGTACTTGGGAGTGAGTACTACTCCTTAGAATCTTGAAATAAATTAGTTTACTGGGTTAAATGTTTCATTTCAGTAGTTTCACCACTTTCTTGAATTTGTTGCTTGAAGAGCCAGGTGCTACCTGCAGAGCAGTTCTTTACAGTCTGTGTATGAGCTGCTSCTCAGGAGAAGCAGAACCAATGTGGGAAAGGAGTTACCCTTTCACAGGGGGTGGTCAGGCTGTGGCTTAATAATAAGCTACAGGCAGCCTTAGGGTTCTRGTGCTCCATCAGTGAGTCTGTGAGCACACAAAGCAAAGTGCTTAGCAGGTTAATACTGGAACACTCTGCTGGTCTGAAATTGTATTAGCAAAAAGAGAAGTTGAAAAGTCAACTGCTCCTGCAGGCGTTGTGCCGGATCAACTATTGTCTGTCTTACTTCAAGCAGCAAAAAGCTATTAAGTAAAAAAGCATGAAGTTTGTATGAATGCCATTTASTGTGCTGTGACTAATTTGAGATATTTAGAGGGCTGGAGCACCTCTCCTGTGAAAATAGGCTTAAAGAGTCGGGTATTCAGCCTGGAGGAGAGCAGGCTCCAGGGAGACTTTATTGTGGACTTTCAGTCCTAAAAGGGGCTACAAGAAAGCTGGAGAGGGACTTTTACCCAAGGGCATGTCATGATAGGACAAGGGAGAATGGCTTCAAACTGATAGTAGGTTAGATTGGATATAATGAAAAAATTCTTCCCCGTGAGGTTGGTGAGGCACTGTGAGAAGCTGTGGYTGCCCCATTCCTGGRAATGTTTGAGGCCWGGTTGGATGAGRCTTTAAGTGACCTRATGTAGTGGAAGGTGTCCCTGCCCACAGCAGGGGGGTTGGAACTGGATGATCTTTAAGAACCTTTCCAATCCAATCCATTCTATTATAAATGTGACTGTATGCCTTCTGGATTCCAGAGTCCAGAATTCGGATGGTGGCAAAGTGACCTAAGAGAAGATGTCATGGAAGAGCCTACAGTGATTCCAGGCAGTTTTATCCAGTTACACCAGAATGCAATTTAGTTTCTGCTGCAGTGTTTCTGTAGTATTTTCTCTATGGCTTCAGATACCTGTTTTTCCACTGCATTTTTTTTTCTTCGTTTCCTGTGTATCAGATAATGACTCACACTCCAAAAACTAAGAAGAAGCAATTTGCTGGTGTCCGTCAGAGTATAGATGAGCCTCTCCAGAGACCTGTGACACCAGGTTATCACCGAACAGCCTATCTAATGTAAGTCCAAACAAATGAGACCAAGTCGGATTTTTAAGCTCCTTTAAAAAGCATCACAACAACAACAACAACAACAAAGAAAAAAACACACAACAATGCCTAATAAATAAGCCTTCCGTACCTAAAAGTGCATTGCCATTGTCATTCATTACAGATAGTTTTTAAAAATGAAGCAGAATATTGTAGGCAGAGAAAGGTCCATTGGCTGAGGTCACATACTTGAAATAGTTCAATAAATGTTTACTGAYCAGGTTGATTTAAATTTGCATTTCATCCTACATGTTCTTGCATCTTCTTTTAATATATTCCACTGGAAAGTTGCATGAAGCATCTACAGTGCCTGGGATCTTCCACTTTATGAGCAACAAAATATATTGCTGTGGGSAAGTTTCTTAGCCACCCATAAGTGGACAGAATAAAAAGAAAATGGGAAAGATAAAATCTTATATTGGGTTTTCCTGCTTTGGAAAAAATATATTTTCCATCAGAAGTGTGTGACAYTTGCTCTTGGTGTGATTTGGGTCAGTTTAGAAGGCTTATTGTAAATGGAATAAAGGGATCTTACAATATAGAGCTCCTTGAATATTCTCTGCCATCTATTAGAACAAKTGTATCAAAATTTGTGAGATGAGATTTGTCCTGTTCACTGTTCTGACTGAGGAAATAAAATACCAATGAGATCCCAAATGTAAATGATTTTTTTACTTTCAGTTGCACAGTTTTGGATTTGATCAAGTCCAGGTASCTATGATGCAGGTGTGTTAATTGTGAGGATTTAAGGTTTTTATTTCTGTGGATACGTAATCTGAGGGCCTACAAGACTAACCCAGCATGACAATGGTACTCAAAACTCACAGGATTGGTGTAGGCCAGTRTGTTAAAATGAATGGGTAACCTGAAACACAACAGTGTAATGAAATTACAGTTGGTTCTTCATACACATCAGTCCTGAAGATTGTCCCMTGTCATCCCCCTGCCACTCTGCTTTCCTGTTCATATTTGCTATTTCTTAAAATACATTTCCTCTTCATCTTGGTGTGGAAGATGGGTACAGAAGACAGTGAGGACTGATTTAGGCTGTAGTTACACTGGTGTAGTTGACTCTGAGTGAAGTCTGTTGTTTTGGACAAGGAGTGGTTGCAGTTTTGTCTTGCCTCCCACTGTCTCAGGCTGGCATTAGCATTCCCACAAGCAGGTGACCTGACTGGGAGCCCTCCTGAGTCATCCAAACATACCTTTTTGGCAGGTGTACCATTCAAGTGGGATTATATATATTAAGTTACCCGGGCCTTGGAACAGACAAGAGTAACATACCAGATCTGGGCACGGGCAAAGCCCCAGAAGACATTTATTTTTTAAAAAAGCAAGATGAAGGAAATACACACTTCCAAAGGAGAAGAAAATGAATTTTTTACTATCCCAGGGCAGAAGTTGTCTTGCATTTTTAATTTTTCTTCTCTTTACTGACCTGATTAACATGGCATTTATTTGAACATGGTACCTACTTCATCTGCCTGGTATAGCCTGATATGGATTTGGAGTTCTCTACTTTGTGTCCTTTCTCACAGTGGTGAAACTTTTTTGCACCATGATAACATCCATAGTTTTTGCAAGTCCTCTCCCTGTATATATTAAATGTGTGTGTGTGTCTGAAGAAAGCAGTAACTAATTAAGATATTAGCCTATATTAGTAAAATAGTGACTATCTGATCCTTTTCATGCAGTCCTCTGAAAGAACTGCAGGCCTTAAAAATCTAGATTGGCTAATATATGACTAAATATACATGGCCACTTTACTGTGAGTCGGTGTTAGAGTTCAAGGTCCCACTTCCCCTGCACAGTATTTTACCCATGATGGGCTTGGAGACCTCAACTGATTCTGTGCAAAAGTATTTTTTCAGGAACAACTCATCATTACTACTGGAGTGTCTAAGCATTACCTTCTTGCATTTGTAAGTGGAGAGAAAACCAAGCTTGTGAAAATGAACTGCCATTCCTATGGGAAGTCAAAAAAATGGTGTCAAACACAGGGGAGTGGCTTTTATTTCCTGGTGTCATGTAGTGCACTGCAATTTTTGCATCAGAAATATTCTCTGGAARCGATTGCTGCCTCTCTTTAGCACTACCTACCCAGGCAGGCTGTTTGTTTAAGTGTCCCTGGATCCCGGAGTGACGCGAGTCCCGTATTTTGGCACAACTTGAACCTTCTCAGTTTTGCAGCTCGTGCTGCTGCAAGACAGYTTCAGGTCACTGCTGGACACAAATTAAAACCACATTTCCATCATGCTGGTTCTGGTAGCCCTGGGTCTAAGAGAAGTGTTAGTTTGATGGTGTGAAGCAGCTTTTACAGATTGCCTCACTGTGCAAACTACAGAGGAGAAATGTAAACAGCAGAAATCTAACAAGTTGAAAATTAATTTCCCTCCTGCTCTGGCCAAATGGTAGAAATAATATGAGCGTTTGGTGCTCCCATGTTTTAAGCAGGAAACAAGCAATAMCACCCTGAATAAGAAGTTTGTCCTTTGTATCTAACTAATTTGTTAGGAAACTGCAGTGAGTAGATGAAGACATTCTTGAACTACATTTTGCAGCAGAAAAGGACAAGCTTTGATGGCTTTCATGCTCTTCTAATTTTAGTACAAATTCATTTTCTAAAATAAGGAAATAATTGCTTAGAAATTATTGCAAGAGRAAGACAATAAAAGCTTAACTGCCTTCATTTGAAAGCAATATCTGAACTGGATGTATTTCATAGTTTAAATAATTTAAGTGGCTTGTGTCACATTAAGTATCATGAAAAATGTTAGACACTTTTGCCCTGCACTTGCTATGCAGCTTGTCTACCAGATACAATCCAGGACRGTTGATCTGAATTATCTGAAGTCTTAGATTCAGCAGGGTGGATAAACTACATTTAAAATGTGTGTAAATGCTTCCATTCAAAATGAAAGTAAATATAACTTGTTTGAAGTTCTTCATGTGAGAATATATTACTCAATGTAATATAYTCCATTTAAAAACATGGTGAAAGAGGAAGCGGTTGATGGAGATACTATAACGTATCTCTTTGAGTTGTTAGTTCATACCTCCAGAAGGAGGGGGGTGGAGATCTCTAGTGCTGAATAGAAGTATTCACACAGAAAATTAATGCAGAATAGCCACTGCACATGTAGCAGCCATTCCATGCTAATTTTTCTATGACTTCCCAGTGCGGACAAGGCTCTAGTTACTTCAGACGAATTGTCATGGGATCCCTGTATGGACAAGCTCTTGCTGTATGGGGCTGAGAGAGTCAGGAAATATTGGAAAGCTGCCTTCTTTTTTTTTTTTTTTCATTTTTCCCTTCTCTTTAAAGACTCGCTGGCTGGGATCACTCAAGGGGGCCAGAACTACTTAATATTCTGCTAGCTATTTCCTTAGAAACTGATTTAGCTGTGAAATCATCTACTGCCTCCTTGGACTGCATCCTTTTTACTAGAAATATAGTTTATGTACTTTAACCTGATGCTGGGCAGGGAGACTTTCCATGTCTGGCAACTTCTTTTCACACACTTTCACTTCTGCTGTGTTTTATTGCTTACTACTAAGCAATCTTGCTTACTAATTGCTTACTAATAAGCAATCCTGTCCCTGTTGTCCTTCAGCTGCTTTAGTTTCCCATTGATCCACTTCACTTGTGAAATCAAGAGTTCTATTTGTTGCCTACTTTGTTTTAAGTCTGTGTTGCATATTGCTCTTTAAAGCGAAATCCTTGTACTATTCGGAAGCGAATCTTAAATCCTTGAAAAAGCTTAATATTGAAGACCTCTCAGGCCCTTTTCTACAGTCTTTTTTCTTTAAGTGTCATGGTGGTATTTTGGGTCTTCAGACTGCAGGGAGTTACAATTTTCTTTCCTTGGCTCTTTTATTGCAGTAGGAAAAAATGTTAATTTCAAATACGTCTGATGTCAGCTGGTTTGGGGGAGCTACAGTCAAGCAGTGAAATTACTTTATATTTCATACTGCAAATCAGTACTAAGGACATAATTTAAATGTGTGCTATGTCATTATAGACAATTAGAAGAAATTAGAATTTGCTCTGATGCAACTTTTTATACTGTAAGCATTCACCCTGCATTCTCCTTTCTCTGCCAGGCCTGAGAACGATGCCAGTTCTTGTCACGATAGGGATGAGAAGCTGCAGTCTCCACCGAGTGCTCATTCTCCCATTTGTGGTGGGAGCCAGTCCAGCATTTCTGACCTCTGCATTTCCCCTTCACGTAAGGATGGTCTGTGGATGCTGTTCTTAATTGCTGATGTCTTCCTTGGGGCAGGTGTTGGATTGTGTGGTGTAGTTTGGGATTTTTTAGCGTAGTGTGGAAATGTCCCTCTGTTTATAGCCCCTGGCTCAGTCTGCAGGACCTTGGGCCACCTGGCAGAGGTTGGCTCGAGGTGAAGGAAGGGCCACAGAAGGTAAYGAGTGGTCAACAGACACCAATGCTCTCCCTTGCCTCGCCCCATCTTGCTTCCTGTGRAAGTGCCAAGGATCAAACCCAGGGCTTCTGATGCACAAAAGATATTCTGCAGGGAAGGAGCTGCAGCCAGAGACAGTGCACTTCCCAGCAGGCAAAGCCTCTTGCTTGATCAAATATAGCCTTGTTTGGATCTAAATGAATCCCTGTCTGCTGGCACCTGCAGACTCTGTTGGCTGTGTCTCTGTTAGAGCTGAAGGCAGCTGCAGTTATCTGCTGAGATTTGCAACTGCATTCAGACCATCCAGGGCTGTGGAGGATGGGCTGTGTGGCTGCATTGTGGGKGATGCTGCTAAAGATTCTGCCCTTGCAGCTTCAGCCGGAATGAATGCAAACTCAGCTGGGCCTGAGAGCTCATCCATTCATCTGATGGAATTTAAAAGGTTATAGCCTTCTGAAATACTTCATTTCTGAACTTCTGATATCCACAAGACCATGGAACTTTGGATGTGGGTGTTTYAACCTTCTTGCAGGGATTCATTAACATTTCCAATTACAGATTTAAGGCAAAATGTTCAGCAGCCTTAGATAAAGGATCTTGCAGCATATCCGGGACAGAATTATTAGTAAGTTCAGACAAAGTGTGCCTTTACTTTGCTGAAAAATATGCTTTGAAGCAGTAAAGGAATAGCATACTTTTTATTTTCTCTTCTATTTTTTTAAATTTCCTAAAGGAAATGAAAAGGATTCTGAGAAAAGTAACTGAGGTCTTGCAGACAGGAATTTGCTTGCGTAATGCCAAGAGCTGATAAMTGTAACATGCTGAAGGATAGMAGCCCTAGGATAGGGGCAGGAGAAGCTCCTGTCCAGGAGGGGCACTTGAGTTCTTGCTGTTGTGTAGGAACGAGAGAGAGCTGCTGTTTTCAGCCTCACTGTGCACAGTAACACCTTGAKTGCAGCTCGGGGAATTTGGCTGGCCAAGGGCAGCAACTCACACCAGCAAAGGTTGTAAAATAAGCAAAAGCGCTCTGACTTGGCAGTTTTCCTGTAGAGAAGAAAAACAGAATGGATTTTTACATACCCGTGCTTTGTAAAGGAAATTAAGCCAAGCAGGTATCAAAGGTGCTCCTATTCGGTCTTTTAAAGTGTAATTGGATGCAATTTCTAAGGAGTTATGCAGCCATCCAGAGCCCAAGTGAGCCAGATTTTGATTGTATCTTTCCAGTGAGACGCATTCACTCACCTCTGTCACTTTTGCTGTGCTGCTGATACTGTCTGATAGTTTGCATGTAAAGATTTATGAAGAGGTTTAAACAGGGACCCTGAGACAGTCAACAAAATAAATGTTGTTAATTTTTGATGAGTATTGATTTAAARCCTTCATGCTGAAGAACTTCCTGCCAGCTTAAATGTTTCATTTTGTCAGAACTTTGCTTGTAGCCTCTGTTTAAAACAGTTTGTTAGCTGCTTTCAGTCAAAATTATRTGCAGGTGGCTACTAATAATAAAATACTAGATTATATTCTTCTCCTGTAGAAAATTTTTCTACAGATATAGAATACAGCATATTGCAAGTTTATATGCCTTATGCACATAGAAAGACAAGTAATTTTTGTGTGTGACAGAGGAAATTCTTTCTAGCATTAATCCAGGCTATAAAATAATATTGAGCTACTTGAAAGATAGCTGAGGTTTGTTTCAGGTTTTTGCAAGCAGCCAGTGACAGATGTGCATGTCTTTCTTATCTTTTGGGATTTAGAAATGAGGTGTAGGAGAAGAGAAAAGAGAGATTGCACTGCTGGACCCCCTGGTTGTTATGTCAGAGTCAGGACTTCTATTCTGCCGGATGATAATTGAGCTGGGTCTTTGAACATCTCTTTTCCAAAAGACARTGGGGATTGTTATATTTAAATTGGAAAAGTTTTAATTTAAGACAATGGGAAATAAGCCCTTTCTCTTCTATTGCCTTCTAAGATACAGCAGGGAACAGAAAGGTGTAAAAATAATGGTACTGCTTCTAGAGGCTCTCATGGTGCTCTGCCAAACRTCTCTGCTGTGCAATAAATACACTGTTTATTGACTTCTGATCTTGGTCTGATGGTCATTCTGCAGTACCAAGAACCTGCTCATTTCAGAATATGTTTTTCAGCATCACATGAGTACTTTGGGACTCAGAGCCTCATGCAGCCAAGTCGTGAAATGAATAGTAAGAGACAAAGAGTAAAAAAAACAGAATAAAAGCTTCATGTGAACAATTAGCCTCATCAAGGTCGTATCTATCTCAAGGAGGCTAAGTTTAGCCTCAAGAAACTCTGATCCTCTTGTTTTCTAAAAATGAGCATAGTTCTTAATGTCCTCCTGGAAATATTTGATTGTTCTTAAATTGGTCTGACTTTGTCTGGGTCTGTCCTCTCCCCCTTTAGCCCTTTGGTAAAGAATCAATAATTCTTGCACTCTTTTATTTTTTGTCTCCTGTGAGCAGAAAACTTGTGGACCAAAGATGAACCCTGGTCATCTTACTACACTTACTATGCTGAATGCCAGACAGAACATGTGCTGGGCAGCATAAATGCCTGTCTGAGAGTGACCTGATCTGCATTCTTATCAGCATGAGAGAGCAGATAGGGGCAGCAGCCTGTCCGGAGCACAGCAGGAATTGAGCTAGGGATATTCCCTAAACTTTCATTGAACTTGCACATCTCAGTATCCTTGTGATTCTAAGCACGCTGTGTGTCCTTCGCTTCCCCTTCAGTGTAAGGCAGAAAGTGACTCTGACAGAAGTGTAAAATACTGCTTTTTGTCTGCAGGCTCTGTTACTGTGGATATGTGCAGACAACTGCTAGAGGCTGTATTCCTGTGGCTTTAATAAGCTAGTGGATTTAGCTGATGTGTGTTCACTGGGGATCTAGGTGCTCCCATCCCACTGCAAGTGCAAAGTGTAACCACTTTTATTTTCCAACTGCAAAGGGCTGGAATTATCACACTTGCAGTTGTTTTGCTCAGGTGATGAGCTGTGATACACTCTGCCACACTGACTCAGTAGCCTGCCAGTACCTCAAGGTTTCCTTGATACAGCAGGAACTGTKACTTGATTGTATTTCTAATGAAACTGTAAAGAAGCAGCTCCTCACTGAATTGTGTTTCTTTTTTTAMGCAGCAGTTGAACTGAAGTCATCTGAAATATTCTCATCAGGCCACAGAGTGGACCAACACAGCCCAGCAGTTGATGCCTTGTCTTCTGGATCTGCTGACTTYGCTGAGGACAAAGTAGATGGTCAATCACATAGGTATGATCTACCCAGAGGATACCTAAAATTGTGAGAGGAGTCTGACAGGGTTTACCAGCTAATTCCATGCTGCTGTAAAGACAATCTGTGAAGTCATTTGATGTATGATGTAGTCTGGCCTGAGACAGCTGTGCTGGTGCTTGCCAAACAAAATACCCTGTGCTGTGCCAGAGGCAGCTGTTCAATTTCTAAGCATCTGGTTCAGAATGGGAGAAGTCTCAAGCAAGACATTATTAATGAACTTTACATGTATGCTCAACTCAGCCTTCTGAAAATAAAACTTCCTGATTGCTCCCTTAGATGACTCAACTCTAGCCCATGAAAAATCATTTATTAGTAAAGAAATAGGTAGGACTGTGGGAAAGGACAGGAATTAACATGCAGAAAGAAGGAAAATGAAGCATTTAAGTGGGTTGAGAGTATTTAAATACACTGAGTTGCTAGCACTACTSACCTGAGTCTCTCATTTATCCACTAGATGGGTATAGCAAAGAAGGTGATGTTATSAGATCACCCAGCAGTGGGTTTCAACTATTTCTTGAAATTATTTCTGTAAAATGAAAGGTCTTGCTYTCCTTATCCTGCACATACCTTGAGCCCTCTGTGAAGCCTTTGTCATGTGTACAACTGTGATGTTATATCTTGGATGAGAACTAGGAATTCATTAGCAATTGGACCAAAGTCTACCAAAGTTTTCAGGGTCTGCATGTGTCCTTCAGACATTAACAGCTTTTTCCTATAACTAATTAGACTGGGCCAAGTTTTAAACAGTAAGTGTAGAGAAATTTTAAAAGCAAGTACAYTCCAGAACTAAAACATAGAATGGGTGGAGATACGTTAAAGGAAAAGTTTTACCAGCAATTCATCCACCTGATTTTTCAGAAATGCTTGGTTATTTGTGTCAATTACAGCTCTAGCACTTCTGAAAGATTCTATCCTTAGAACTTTATTTCTTTCAGGCCTACAGATGCCATTGTGTGGGTTTGGGGGTTTTGGAGGGGGATAGAGTGTCTTTGGTTGGTTGGTTGGRTTTTTTCCCCAKTTGTGCTGTTTCCRTGGTGAGATCTGAGAAATTATRTSTTGTCAACAAATTATCACTGGTTTCAGGTGAAGTGTTTAGTATCGTACCTCTGGCCCAGCATTAATGGTTTTATTTCAGTTGTCTCTTGTAACAGTAGCTAAGCACATAATAGAGATACAAATAAACCATAAAAATTTATTACTAAATTGTTTACTTTGTGATAGAGAGAGGGATATTATTTTTCATGCTTTGGCTTGCCAGAAGGAAGTAAAACTGCAGCATCTTGCCCTCACCTTAGCGAGATGCTCTGCATCTCTACATAACCTATTATTAGAAAGGTGTAATAGGTTCCCAGTAATTTTTAATATTTGTTCACAAATGTATGTCTAAATCTCAGGATGGATTTTGTAGAAGTGAAGGCACAGGTGCAGTATCCTGCAGAGGAAGATCATGTATTTTCACTGTGTGTTTCCTCAGCATGCACGAAGTAATTTGGATTTCCAAATCAGCCTCGAGTTACGGATATGGGAATGCAGCCATTCACAGTCCAAGAGAGGAGAGGGTTTTATGTGTCAAGGGTCTTTTGTTAATATGTTGTGTTGCAATAGCTAGACCTGCCTTTTCATTCTTTCACCCTTGGATGCAGACTATAATTTGTTTGCAAAACAAACAGGACTAATAAATCACTGCTTTCCTCATAGTTTTGTCCACTGTAAGAAGTGTCTCCTTCCTGGAGGCAAATACCTATTAGGCAAATACCAAGACCTTCCTAGAAGAGGTATGTATGAGAAAGGAGGGCTGAGTAGGGCATGAAAGTGGTCACTTCTCTTTCCCCTCTTCCTTAGCAGTATAAACTGGGAATTTAACTGAGATGAGTGAAATGATGCAAAATCAATTGGAGAGAAGAATGAGACCCTGGTAGTGACATTTCTGTTGCAGTTGTTTTATTTCCACAGGAACAAATTATTGTTCCAACTGATGCAGGGCAGATTGGCAGCTGGTCTACCATTGATATTCCCTGTTGCATTTTGATCATATGAGAATGTAACTGTTGTGCTTTTTAGCCGATCAAGAATGAATTTGTAACAGACTTCAGTCTGCAATTGTGACTGACTGAAAAAGCAGAGGGATTTTTGTATTGTAACTAGGTCCAGTATCATCATGATAAAAAAGAACTTTAAGTCTRTGGGACATTGTTATGTCTTAGCCTTGCTTTTCTGATAATCTGGTAAAAATGGCCAAAAGTCCAGGTGTATTCTTGCAGTAAAAGATGACGTTTGTTCTGTGATACTTGCACACATGGAGAACCAGATCTGCTCTGCATACTCTCAGAAAAAAAAAAAAAAAAACCCAGAATTTTTTCAACTTTGCTTCCAGTTTTTGCTACCAGCCTATTTCAAATAATCCTTTCCTGATGAGTTTGCAGAGATGTGAACCATTTTGTGTGACCACTGTGTACATTTTCCTTTGGTAAAGGGATGTGACTCTGGTTGCATTGCTTTGCTGTCTCTATTCTGGCTGCTGAGGTTGCTGCCCTGAAACTGTGGAGATGGTTGGTGGCTATAAAAACACTTTTTTACCCTATGGGAATACAGATCCAAGGTTTTGTTATCTGTTGTTGAAAAAGGAAGAAGAAAACCTTATGTGTGCCTCAAAAACCGCCTTGAGGCTGGTGAATCTTTCTTATTTATCTGCCTAGGAACATCATAGCACACATAAGATTATGAAGAGCAGCAGTGAATTGGAAACCCAATTCACTTAAACAAACTCACTTTACCAGAGTGAGTCAAACAACAGAAAAAGCAATAACAATGAGACTGTTTTATGGAGACAAAGATGTTTAAATATCTCTGTGGTCCACGCCTTGAGATTTTATCAAGCCAGTCTTATTTTTTGGTGTTGTTTTAAGTCTGTTTCTGCTGCCATCTGCCATTTCCTCCTTTGAAGCTGAGACAGATGTTAACACTTGTAGTGCTCATAGGTGGAGAGCTGCAGAGATGGTTCTTAGCAGAGCAGTTAGCACATCTCTGCCCTTAACAGTCAGCATATACATATGCAAAATACAGACAATAATGCTATTTAAAATACAAAAAGAGCACTTGCTCAAATCTCCCTGCAAAGTGAAACGAGGCTTTGGAAGGGCTAATCAGCACTGACTCAGCAGCATTCCCAGGAGAGGAGGGGAGATTAAATATCTTGAAAATCCTCCTAATCACCCCTTCTGATGGTCACAAAGGGTTCTTTTGATGGAGCTAATAACACGGGGAGTTTTCCTTTTAATCGCTGATTTTTAGATGGCACTTATTTTTTTCATGTCCTGCCTTTGGCTCTTTTATTTTCCTTTTGAAATATGTTTTCATGTAGCTGTTACTTTAGTTTAACCTTTTCTCCTTTTAAGAGAAAATCGACTKACAAACATTCATATAGATTCCGAATAATTTTAAAGACTTCTTATTTCCTGGTAGCCTCCATTTTTGTACCTGGGAAAAATTATTTATGCTGGGGGCAAGTAGGGACAATGTATCCTTACACAGTTATTGACTAAATTTTAAAGAATGRTATTTTTACAGCACATGCAGACTGAAATAGCAGCCCCTGGTTTATGTTCTCAGTGTGAACAAGGAACCTGTGTGTTTCGAGAATTTATTTTATAGATGCCATCACAGCTTTTTGCTCTTTTGACAAAACCTTCAGGGAGTTCTACAAACCTTATCTCAGACAGGAGCCRGAGAGGCTGCCTGTGTCTGCCAAGAATGACTTATTCCTGGAAGAAATTATGGTGTTTGCTCCCTAAAAGGATGTATTCCCRTGCTGTACAATATCTGTGTATTTTGCGCACCCCAGAGTGAGTCACCGGATGTGATAAATACAACAGAAAACAAACTAAAGATCAATTCCTGATTTGCAGGGAATTTTACTGAACCTGTTCCGTCCCGTTGTGCAAAGAGAGAGGTTTGAGTAGGACAGACAGGTTGACAGAGGCAGGTTGGAGGCTGTGCAGTGAGCACATGTCCCAGGGCACGTCCTGTGGTGCCACAGTCCCTTCCACTTGCAGTCTCCCTGAGTTCTGACTTCTGTGCATTCCTACTCTGCACACATATTTCTGCATGCTTTGCTAACCATGTCCCTTTCCTCTTACAGCGAGTTTGCCTCAGCCTTCACCAGCAAACCCAAGATCCCTCGCACTCCTGAAGTGCACAGCACCAGCCCTAGRAAGGTCACAGGCATTGCCCCCCAGTTCTCTCAGTCTGCACCCCAACAAAGCCATCCCAGCTCTGCAGGATCATCCAACAGGAGTAGATGGAGTAAGTGGAAAAAGTCATSGTTCTGTTTGTCATTCCTCACTGTGGAAACTCTTCAGGAACAAAGTTATAGGCTACAAATGTGCCAGGAGTATATGACATTGTGCTTGTCATCTGCAGGATGTACAGGCATGTAATTATATCCTGCTGAACACTGCTCCTATTTCCAGACTGTCATGTGAGCAGTTAAAAGACATGCTTTTTCCTGTCTCTGGGTGGAGAAAAGTGGCCCAAATTCTCAGAAGTTTTTGGGGAAGCTTATGAGTCTCAGATTAGACGTTCTCTAGATGTCATCAGAGTGATTCCTTGTCTTCAGACACTTGTTCATCCCACTGTGTAACTTGTTTAATGCTCTTGAAGCTGGCTCCCTGGGTGTGTCTCCRCTGCAGCTGAATGTGGAGCAGATGTCAGGCAGCTCAGGAGATGGCTCAGGGCAGCCTGGTAAGCAGAGAGCCAAGCACAGTGTGCTGCTTGTGGCAGTCAYCTTTCTGCTGGAGATTTGTACCCAGGAACCATATTGGCTATGCTGGGGCCTGCAGAARTTTATAGGAAGTACTTAACCTACAGGGGTTCAGGAGAGAGGATGGCTTTTACTTGAGGATGGAAGAAAAGGRTGGATTCATGCTTTAAGCCAGGCAACACAAGCTCAGTAAAGTTGATCTCAGATGCTCACACATCRGTAAACATGTGTGGTGTGTCAGCTGCGGAGGTTTTTTGGGGTGGAGGAGGAAGAAAGGTGCATTCTTTAGCAATAAACAGACTTTTTCCTAGGAATGTGGATAGGAAAAGCTGGATTCAAATACGACTGTATTCATTATCGGTGATAATAGCAGGAGTGAATGCATTGTGACAAGTTTTGTGGTCATTATTTGATCACAATGTAACATCAGCTCTATTCTTTGGCTGTAACTGTTACCTTGAAACATTTGACAAAAACATAATAACTTGTAATACCTTCCCAAGAAAGGTATATACGCACTTGTGTGTGTCATTAGCTACTCATTACAGAAACAGAAAAGGAAATGAATTTAAATAACCCAGTAAATCAGTAACAGAGCTGGAAGGAGCATTCTCAGTCTTCTGTGTTGCTCATTCATTGTTCAACACAGTTRCATGTGCAGGGAAATGGTGTGGTTTCACTCAGGGAGTGCAGGTGAGGCACTGGAAGGGAATGTTCTTGGTRGTGGTTTTGATCTGAAGGCTCCTTGCTTCAGCACTGCTGTGCTGAGGTAACAGAGCTYTTTCAGCTTTACCTTTGCTGTGTGTGCCCCGAGTTTTGCCTCTGACATCAGTGCTCTCTGTTTCTGGTGACAGCAGCACAGTTCTGCCCTGACTGGATGTGGTGTTAACACCCAAGAGTCTGCCTCTGGTTCCTGTTTCGGTCCATTTCCAAAAGCGTTGGCCCATTGAAAAGAAGCCCTAGTGAAGAAAGGAAAARCACTCTGTGTGTGTGTGTACACACAAAAATACTCTTCGTGTTCTTGTTTCTCCAGGGCAGCTTTACACTCCTGGAGGGTGTGTCCTAGGAAAGATGTGACAGACAAATGTTKCTTTTATGAGGCTCTGGAGCAAGATCCTTTTCCAGTGGCACAGTGTTAAATGTATTTTATTTTCAAATTGCATCAAAATAGATCACTTGGCATTCTCTGTGCATTCAGTRTATGTGACCCATTGGTCCAGAGACACAAATTCTTCTAACTTATATTGTTTTATTTGTTTTTCAAGATACCTCTTCTCTTTGGTATGTTTGTGCATCCTAAAGCTGAATGCATAACAGGCATCCCAACTTGRTATGTGTCCGTTTCTCCCAGTTTTTCTCTTGGGATTCCACATTATCATTTTCTGTCTGTCCACATGTGTCATGACACAGTGTCAACAATTGAATATTAAAGTCTTCCAGCTAAAAATAGCAAAGAAGTTATTTTGCAAACAAGTCATCTTCCACTCACTGTGTGTACATGTATCCWGCCTTGTAGTCTGCTGTCACAGAGCACCTATTGGTTCTTGTCCATCCTGCAGGGGYTTTCACACAGATGTTTATAGGTGGGAAGAGCAACATGAAGGTTATAAGGAGCAGATTTTTAAAGGACTGTAAAGGGTTTTAAGCACTGTGTTGAAACTTGGGGCTCTCGGTTGTTAATTAAAGATGCAGGGAAGGGGTGTGAAGCAAGTGAGCCCCTAATATTTCCCTAGTAAAGCTCTGTGCTACTGGTCCTTTAATTTCCATGCTGACTCATCTGTGGGGTCAAAAATGGTATCAGATGCACAGATACCAGCAATCAGTAGATTCCAGTAGTTGCTGCCTCCCATTTGCCTGCTGCATAGATATGTAAGTTTTTACATATCAAGAGACCCTGTTTCAGTGGAAGACTAATTTGTGRGTTTCTTGGTATTTCTGGAGAAATGTAAGTTTTTATAGCTGATCGATATGATGAGAAAAAGATTAGTTTCTGATGACTTTACTTGATGCATTCGCTTATTTTAGAGGTACATTTCTAGCTTGATTTTAGTGTTTATTATAGGTGTATTTTCTGGAAACAAGTSGGTTTTATGTAAACCCAGCTAAACTAGCTGGACTGCTCCTCTTGGAGCATGGAGTGTGTGGAATGCTGGAGGAATGCAGAGAAAGCCCAGGTACTTAGTGCAGCTACAGGCCTGGGGCCAGATTCCTGCCTGAGATGCAGCCCCTGCTGAACTCTGGAGCAAAACCAGACTCCTCCAAATAAAACCAGCCATTCTGGGATCCTCTGTGGTTTCCACTTCCAAGCTGACACAGGGATGGCACTGGCAGCATGGCTGGAACATAGGACTCCATAGGGACCTCCAAATTTAGTCTTTCTCAGCTGTGCTCTGTGTGGACATGGTTGAATGGTTTAACCCACTCTGATCCATATTCTGTGTCTGTTCCAGGCAACTCTGCATGGGCAAGCTGAAGCTGTTTGCAATGCACCACATTCTATCTAAGCCACAATGGAGCTAGGGCAGTACAAAAATCTCTACTAGAAGAACAGGGAATGTTTTTTGTTGGGAGTGCAACTGGGCCCTGGTGATTCCCTTTCAGTATCTCCTCACATGGAATAGCCTTAAATACATTCTGCATTTTTAAGTTGCAGCATCAGGAGTTAAAGTTCCTTTCTGTGTGTTTTGTTGTGATATTTGTGTCCCTGTACAGGTTGGACAAGTGTTGCCCTCAGGCTGCTTCTATCTTGTAATAAATCCTGCTTTCAGCTGACAGCCCCTTTCTCGCTGTTTTTCTGCAGGCAGACAGTCCTACAGGAAGTGAGAACAGTTCCTTTCCTCGAGAATCACCTGTCACATTGTGGAAGGACAGAGCCAGCTTCCTGTAATGAGCTTTACTGGTGACCTGCAGAGGACAGTGAGGTCGTTGACATCGCAGGCCTCGCACGGGGATTCAGGATTATCTGATGGGATGTGTCTGTGGTCTCTAAAGCTGGCTAAGACAAGGGCCTTGTTATTGCAATTYGAGGTCTCAGCAGCAGCCCAGGACTGACATGGGAGATGGATATTCTCTGATAGTTTACTCTGAAGTGACATTGCCACCTTGAGAAGAAACTTTTGCYCTCTGCCTTCTGTGTCAGTATAAATGGCCTTTGGAGACAGGATGTAGGGCTCAGCCCAGGAGTCTTATGAAGAAATTGTCTTTTTTACATATTGCTTGCTGAAGCAGCCAGCCAATTGCTTTTTTTTAAATTATGCCTTTATGACTGGGTTGGGAGATACCTGTGTTCAAAGGATCTGCATGAGGAGGGACCAGTGGCTGCCACATGTGCAGAGTGTTCGGGCCCAGAGCAGTCCTGTGTGGGGTGAGATCTGTATGGCCTCCAGACTGCAGAGGAGGTATTTCATAAACTTCTGGTTGACTTGTAGCAGATGAAAAACACTGTTACAATTCCCCAAGCAGCATTCGTGCTCATTTCTGGGGTCTTTATCTGCAGCAATTACTCCTATTCCTTCTTTCTGTGTTCTTTTTCTTAATTCAACTGTTTAACATTTGTTGAATGAAAAATCTATTTTTTCCCACTGGAATGAAGAGTTTTCCTTCTTCATTCATAGAAGAAACCATGAGAATGTGAACAAATCAGAAGCGACTTTCTCTTTTCATGTAGCTGTGGTCCATCTTCTTTGGCCTTTGTTGCTTTTTTATGTTCTTCACTTTATAGCAATGACTGTTTATGTCTTTATGGAATTTGTGCTGGTCTTTGGTGCATATGAAGTGCTAACTAGGCAAAAGAGATCAGGAATCCCTCCACTAAATAAAAAGGCAGCAGTTAATTCTGCCAGTGAATTACAAAGCCARTGCTGTTTGTTGTTCTTTCTCTCAACAGTAACAGTGACCAGAAAACACTGAAGTCTTCAATGGGGGATGTCTTTTCAGTAACACCCCCTTGTGTGACAGCTGTTGGGACACATAAATGCAGTTTACATTGGAACTTGGCTGCTGYTGAGGCAGAGATGTACAAAAAGCAGGCAGTGTATTTGCCATAGTCAGATTCAGAAACAAATGCTTTAATGTGTGTGAAAAGGTAAGGCTTGGTTTTGGGGTTTCACCTTGAGAACAAATGAGTGGAACACAGCCTGAAAAGTAAAGCAACTCCCACAGTGACACTGCCTTCCCCTGAAGAGTTGTAAAGCCATTTCCATAGAGCCAGAAGAGAGTTTTGTGCTTCTGACAAGACCTGGAATTGAAGCTCTTGCTCTGTGGTGGCAGCTGAAGAGCCAAGGCCACTGATGTGATTGCGTGAGACCCACTGAGATCAGTGATGCTGTGTCAGATGTTTGCAAAAAGGGCTTCCACACACAGGTTCAGGAAACCCCTTTGGATGGACTTTAAATTGGAATGGGAGTGTTTTGTACCTTAAAATCCAGTGAATTCATGTGGAAGTTACAATTCAATACTCAGTGACATGTGTCCAACACCAAGCAGGCAGAGTATGGGCATTGTATTCCGAACTACACAGGACATGAAGAGACTGTAGGCACTTGATAGCCCCTGTCACACAGATCCCCATGGCAAAGAAGTCAGAGAAAATACCTGACCCATGCTTAGATTCACCTGCCTCCTCTGAGAACAACTCATAAACACAACTGGGAATGGGAAATGTCCTCTGGTTCACAAAAGGGCAGTTATGGAAAACAGCCATAAAAGCTTTCCAGGGCAGGCAGAATTTCCTCTGAAATTCTGTTTTTTTTCCAGTATGTGACATCAATGGCCAAGCTKTTAACACTGACATGCTAAGCAGTTCATTTGCATACATGGACAACTCAGAATGCTCCAGCAGCTGTTTTATTCATCTTACAGCCGTGCTGAGTTTCACGTAGCAGATCGGATTCTGTGAGATGGAGAGCAGCTTTTGAAAAGTATAGAGTGCAGACTTATTTTTTTTGTGAGGGGGAACAACACCCCAAAATTTCACTGATTTTATGAGTTGAGGTAAAAGCTTTATCACCCCTTGTCAGACACCTGAAGGTGGTTGTTAGGCATGGCTACTACTGCTCCAGCATGTTAAGATTCATGAAAACCAAAATGCATATTGCTGAGTTGGATTGAAAGGAACAAACTCAAGTGTGTGTGCTTGTGTGTTTCTTACTCAGACTTCTTGCARTTCAGGACTCAATATGAACAGTTTCCCATGCTCAACTCTTAGATGTTCTGGCATGTGAGTGTGGAGTTTTAAATCCAAGACTATTTTTGTATTAATGCATGAGAGATTTCCAAATACCTGACAGAAACTATGGATGTACTCAGAAATGTTCTCAGCTGAGCAGTCATTTGAGAGGCCGAGGAAATAACATGTCCTCCTTTTCTCTGTCTTATTCACAAAAAAAGCCCCTGTGATGCCAGTCAGAAGATTTGAAGCTAATGAGAAATGTCAGTTCTGCCTTTGTTCATAGGACACSACTGCTGAGGGTGGAAAGGTCCCTGAATGGAGGTCAGTAGCACACACATGGCAAATTCGGCACCTCGCTCTGAAAAGTTGCTGGGTGTCTTTTGTGTGTGCCACGAGGAGGCAGCTGCTAGATTCAACACCCCCCTGAGGAATTCATAACCAAAGCAGTGGAAATTGCTGTCCCGGTGGGAGGGGTGTGATTGTATTTAGAGTGACTGTAATTTCTTTCACAAAAAGCAAATACGGTTATTGCAAATGACACACAGATCTGCAAGGGAAGTTTTTCCGGGACCAAAGTCCTGCGTGGTGCTACCATGYCTTTTGGATGTAACTTTTGTATATTCAGTGTAATTTTGTTTATGGACAGTTACTTGAGACTAATTGCATAAGTCTATTYTAAAGTTTGCATAGAGGGCTTATTCTGTACAAGTGCTGTATAATTATCCATCAGCAATGAGATAAAAATGCTCCTAAAGGGTTTTTTTCTTTCTCTTTTTGATGTAGTTGTTTTGGGGCTCGTGCAATTTTTTGTGTGCATTTCTTTACATTTCACTCTGGTTTATTGTCAACAGATTCTGTCCCCAACAGTTGTTATCTCCATCTAAGTGGAAAACACATCTCCCTTCAGTCCAGCCTGGCCTGCCTSTGCAGAGGTAATGTTGTTTACTCAGAAGTGTTGCAAAGCGGGCATGAACCATTCATTGTTCGTGGTCTCTCATGAGGAGAGCCCTGGCGTGTGGGATGCCACCAGCGACACTGGGTTGGTGTCAGAAGTATTATTTGTTGTACAATTTAAGTGTGGAGGGAAAGACAAGCAAGGAAGTTTGCTGGAGGGAAAATATTGCTGTGATGGGGAGCAACGGTGGTTGCTTGGTTTGGCTTTGAGTTGTTGCACTTAAACAAAGTTTAATCTTTATAAATCATGGTGGAGATGGCAGCGTAGAGATAAAGAGCTCTGTGTGGTGTTCGTGCACGTCCTGGCATAATGGAAATAGAAAAGCAAACAGGCTGCCTTCCTTGCAGGTGTTTGAGTACATCCAGACTTACTGTTTGGCTGGGGACCTCAACAGATTTGGGGAGTGTCAGTTATTTTGTTCACTCTGCATGTGAGTGACCTAGCACTATATTTAATTTCAAAAATGGTTTTCAGTATGCCTTGCTGATTTTCATCTTAAAATATTTTAAAAGTGTTAGTTCATTTTATTTGTTTCTCTTTTAATTATGCTGAGAGCTAAGTCTTCTGAGTAAGCAAATAAACAGGACAGATAAARAGTAGTGGATACCCAAAACAATAAAGTTTATTCTGTAGATATTTAAGGTGCCCTTAATGTTAGGCTGTAACTGACAGCTACAAATGCTGAGACCATTTGAAAACCAGATCACCTGCGAAGGGATTTTAGGAGTTCAAGGACACCTCCTTCTACTGATCTCAGGGAAAACTTTTGGCCTTTGTAGATCCAGATTTAGTTCTCCTCCTCTGAAGAGTGAAAAGGTTGAGCTGGAGCGAGGATGGGATGAAAGTGCTGGAAATAGCATCTGTGTGCCAAGTGATACAGTTCCACATTTGGGCTGCCGTGTGCCGGTCTGACTGTCCGAGCCCTTGCCTGGATCCGGCTGACTGTTGGCAGAGGTTGAATCCTTCCTGAGAACAAATCACTTTATTGTTCGTGTCTGCTCATGCACTGCCTTTTGGGAGCGTGGTTCATGTTGTTGCAAGAAGCAGAACCATTAGCACCAAATGAATTCTTTGTCAAGCAGCACAGTTTCCCTGAAATTTTTACCCTTTTCTCCAGCAGCTTTCACCTGGGATCAAATTTTCAGTATCATAGAGGACTGGCTCCTGTAAAGTAGATAACTTTTTTGTTACCTCTGCAGATCATGGCCTACTATGATTTTCCATGAAATGGGCTCCTTTCTATTTCTTCCTCATCCAAGTGAGCAGCTAGCAGGGAAATGAAATGAGTGATTTTGTTCCTGGGTCATGTCTGTGAACAGGGCAGGGACCAAGACTTTTTAACTAGAACCGATCCAGGCGATCTGGCATCTTTCTGGTGACAATAGAACATTTGTGTCTCTAAAATCTAATCTGAAAAAGGTATTTCCTTGCTCTACATCTCATTATTTTCATTATTTGTTGCTAGTGAGATGGAAATATTTCCTGTGTTTCAACCCAGTCCAGCTTCCCTGGAGCATCTGTGAGGAGACAGCTAGTTTTGTGGAAGSCCTCGCTTCTTGCTGGCAGGAGGGCATTGTCTGAACTTTTGTGCAAAGCTGGTAAGTTTTGTTCAGGTGCCTAAAATAAGTTTCAGAGGGAACCTGAGTGCATTCATAAAAATCTGTCCCTTTATCCTGCAGCAGTGGCCTCTCTGAAGAGWGTCCTTGTAGTTTCCTGTCTCTGCTTCCTTCCCTCTCTCTAACTTTTTGTTTTGTTTGGAGTGGGGGACTTGCCATATTTTTTCCTGCAGTGGGAATTATTCCATAGGGCTGGATCACGCTGATGCATTACAGAGGCAAAGGAGGCTKTGAAAGGTGCTTGTCCCAGGCTGGAGCTGTCTGAAAACTGGTTGGATGTTTGGTGCTTGCTAGTTGTAGCCCCTTTTGTTTCACCTGTACCACAGCCTCTCCCTGCAAACAGACCTGGTCCCTAAAAGATCCTGAATTACAATCTGTGGTATTACTCAGGAATCGCTTTCCTTTCATGCTGGGGCTGATTAAAATCTCTTATTACCTTTACCTTCCAACGTCAGTACTTWATGCAAAACCATTTCCTAGTAAGAAAAGTTCAGGGCAACTCAGCCCTGAAGTGTTATGTGCCTCAGAGGTGAGACCTCTGTCCTTCATTAGACACCCCTCAAACCATTCCTGGGCAGTGGCAATGGGACAGTGTGATGATAGATGAGCTGGAATATTTTGTTTCTTTCTCTCAACCTGGACAGTTGCTCTGGGCAAAGAAGGAAGTGTCAAGCTGCCTTATCTTTGCAAAGCTGACTGCTCCTGCAGCTTGGCACRGTTACTGCTGTTACCCATGTGCTGCCTTGAATTAATTTTCTCTGGGCTATGAGTGTGGTTTGTACCGGGAATGCCCTGTCCTTGCTAGAAAATCAGCTTCTGGGGAAATATGTCCTTGCGTAGGCATGTGGGAGATTATGGAGGGGGTGTTATCAGCACAGCCTGTGGGGTGTGTGGTGAGTTAACCCTGGTGGACAGCTCAGCCCCAACAGCTCCAGAGCAATGGGGGAGAGAAGCAGAAGAGTGAAAGTGAGAAAATCTGTGGATTGAGCTAAAGGTAGTTCAACAAGTACAGCAAAAGGTGTGAGCACCAGCAGATAGGCAGGTGTTCAGCCATTTCTGGGGAAGCCGGAACAGTTACTTCATCATGCATAACTCTTATTTGGGAAGACAGATGTCCTAACTTTTTCTTTCTCCCAGTTTTTATTGCTGAGCACTTGGACACACAGTCTGGGATATCCCTCTGATAATTTGAGATCAGCTGCCTGTGCTCTGTCCCCTCCCATTGTCTTGTGCACCCCCAGCCCTCACTGGGGTGGGCAGTGTGAGAAACAGAGCTGCCCTTCGTGCTGTGCAAGTAACAGCTAAAACATCCCTGCCTTATCAGCACTGTTTTGGTCCCACATCCAAAACACAGCCCCACAGCAGCCACTGGAGAGAAAACGAGCTCTGTTCCGGCCCAGCCAAGGCAGGAGTGTGTCTGTTTGTTGTGCTTTGCATGGAACTGGCCATAGCATGCAAGAAGCACACTAGGACTCAGGAGCTCCTCTGAGCCCAGCTGGGCACCAGAGTAGCTGTGTGGGTGGCAGCAGGAGCTGGTGTGGGGCTGGCCTCCAGTTACTGAACACAAACCAGTTACAGATTAGAAACTGGGGGTTCCTGAACTCTTGYGGGGAGATCTGCGAGGATGTGGCATACAACCCTGAAAGGAGAGAGGGCTCTTGCTCATCTGCTCCATCTCCAGGGAGCTGCTGGCAGGGACMTTTAAACTCCCAGTTGGACAGGACAGAAGAGAGCAATTCTGCACTGGGAGCTGGCACTTGCTTTTCAGCACTTCAGCAAAGGTTCATGCTACTGCAGCAGCTCTTCCAAGTCAGGCTGTCACTGCCTGACTCTGCCAGAGCTGTTGCTTTTCGGCCCTATGGATCAGGATATCAGYTTTTTTAATCAGGAAGAGATTTTCTTGTGTGTCTTATCATGAATTGATGTGATAGAGATGTGATTGATGCTGAGCCTGGCTTTCTGTGCAGACTTGGGCTCTGAAACAAAAGGATGGGGAAAGCAAAGAAGCTAAAAGTGCTTATTTGCTAAAGTAGCACCAAATCAACAAAAAAAGCTGCATTTCAGCCTGGTTTCTTATTCAGAGCCATTTGTACACAGGATTCTCTTACAGCAGCTCAAACTGGAGTTTGACCTGTGGTTCAGGTGTGTCTGTACCAATAAGTTTGTATTTGGCTTAACCATGGAGAAGGTCATACAATAGTCTTGGTGCAGGAAAGGCTGAATCAATATGAAATTGAAGTTGTTCCTGTAAAGATTCAGGAATGGAAACTTCACCACCACACCTACTTTCAGAAGTTGCACATCACAAAGAAGCTGAGAAATACCTTTGTGGTGGGTGGTTGTCTCCAATGCAAATGTCACAGTTTTAAAATGTCTCCTGATTTTAACTCCTTCCAGCCTGAGAGAGCTGTGCACCTGCCTCAGGGGTAAACGGAGAGATTGCAAGAGAGAAGCAGGGGAATRTGGGACCTTCCCTGAGCCTCCCTGGGGTGGGGGCAGTAGGGCTGGGCAGCTGCTGGGGACCAGCACCCCAAAAAGGTAGAGAGCGTGTTTTMGGGGGAGTCCTGTTTTAATCCTCATTATTTAATCTGGTGGTCCCATTTCATGTTGGTAGGGGTGATTTTTATGATCCCTTAGTGCTGTCTCAGGTGTTCTGGCAGGCAAAGTGAAATTATTGGGGCAGGGTGAGGGTGCAAGAGCTGCTCTGTGYATGGGGAGGGTGCATGAGGGAACAGCACAGCAGTGCTGTGCTTATGGRGGCTGCTGAGATTGTCTGGAGACTTAAAATGTTAACATGATCAGTACTACTTTCTGCTTATTTCCTTTTCCAGGCATAGTTGGAAGCTAACATGTATGATCCTGAGGGTGAGAAATAGATGGTGTTTGTCAGGACAATCACCTGTTTCCCCCACTCATGTGGTTCAGGGGGGAATCTCTTACATACTATTAATTCCACAGTGAAATMGCAACATTTTTGATCCTGCTTCTCCATAAACTTGGCCCAGGCCGTGCCKCATCAGCTAAGAGCTCTTAAATGGGATCTGACTTTTCCTCCACATCCACTGAATGTGCAACCCACGCCAAAGATTGGGCCAGTGCACACCCAGCCCAGGTTTTCCTTTGCTGTGCCACCCACGGTTAATGGGGTGCAAAGTACCAGTGTAACGCATCTCCTCAAGCACATTCCTTTTGCTCTAAACCTGAAT